TGATAACCACCCCAACTGTGACTCGTACCCTGTGACGTCACAGGTGCCAGAGCCCACCCCAGCTCAGCAGCTCACAGCTGCCCTGGGCAGCCAAAGCCGTGACACCTTCAGAGGACAGACCCATCCAGCAGGACATGTAATGTGGGGTAGGATACAGGGATGGCTTCTGTGAGAAGTTCCCCCTATGTCCGATAGAGCCAACACCAGCCAGCTCCAAGACAGAACCACCACTGGCCAAGGCTGAGCCCATCAGTGATGGTGGTGGCATGTCAGGATACCATATTTAAGAAACGGGTGGGAAAAACTTGTGCAACACCAGCAGTCGGGAGAAAGGAGTGAGAATATATGAGAGAAACAACTCTGCTGACCCCCAGGTCAGTGAAGAATGAGGAGGTGCTCCAGGCACTGGGGCAGAGATTCCCTTGCAGTCCATGCAAAAGATTATGGTGAGGCAGGCTGTCCCCCTGTAGCCCATGGAGGTCCATGGTGGAGCAAATATCCACCTGCAGCCCTTGGATATGCCCAAAAGAGGCTGTGACCCTGTGGGAAGCCCATGCTGGAGGAGGTTCCTGGCAGGACCTGCAGATCTGTGGAGAGAGGAGTGCACACCGGAGCAGGTTTGCTGGCAGGACTTGTGACCTCACAGGGGACTCATGCTGGCATAGTCTGTTCCCGAAGGACTGCACCCCATGGAATAGACCCATGCTGGAGCAGTTTGGGAAGAACTGCAGCCCATGGGAAGGACCCACATTGGAGAAGTTCATGGAGGACTGTCTCCTGTGGGAAGGACCCCATGCTGGAGCAGGCAAGAGTGAAGAGTCCTCACCTAAGAAGGAAGGCAATGTGTGATGAACTGATCACGACCTCCATCCTCATATTTGCTCTGCCCAATGTTTTTGAGAATCTCGTATTTGCTACCTTGGAAAACATAAAACTCAAATTGAAATTCGTTGAAAAAGTTGTTTCAGACATATTTTACATATTAAAACAACTATACTGAAGCAACACTCTCAGACACATTCTATGATTTTTGGGATTGTCCTGTGCAGGGGTCAGGATGTTTGGCTCAATGATTCTTTCAGGTCCTTTCCAACTCAGTATATTCTATGACTCTACAACTGTGTTGATTCCATTTTATATAGCTGTCTAGCCACAAAAGAGGAAGACAAAAGATGCTTGGGAAAAAGTCTGACCAAATAAAATATTTGAAACATAACCCTGAAACAGTTTGTCAGAAATTGTTAGGTTTGAATTTAATGATGGACAATTAGAGGTGTATCTTCTAAAGATTTGTCTTAGCCATTACATGGCATACCCCTATTCAAAATCCATATATGCAGAAATCATTCTATGCAAAATGTGTGGTAGTGCTTATGCAAGGGAAGCTCTTGAGATGTTGGAAGTAAATTTCAGTTCAATGTTCCAATCTGGAACTGTAAGAAATACAGCCATCAATGATTTTACACACGTATTTCCAAAAGCTTCTTTGAAGACAAGGACTTTTGTACTCCACCAGATTACTGCCATCCTGGAGAGTACACAAATGATTGTTTAATATTCTGAAAACAACAAAAAGAGTAAGAGACAAAACCACCTCTTACACAGGAGGGAGAACAAATGAAGTCCAAATTTAACTTCCAGAACATTAACATACCTTTCTACAGAAACATTTCCCAGAACAAGCAGCTCCAAGGTGTGCTCAGTTTGGATTCCACCACAGAAGTAAGGGCATCTTTCAAATCATCAGAGAGATGGAGATAGGAAACTTGAGGTTGGAAAGGTGGCACTGTCTGCATTTCTAACAAAGGTCAAAGCAAGAACATGATTGCTCATAGCAACATTTTGTGTCATTTTTCCTATATGAGAAATAAACTCCTAATCTTGGTTTCATTGGAATTAATCCCCCTGAGCCTTCTCTTCTCCAGGCTGGATAGTCCCAGCTCTCTCAGCTACTCCTCAAAAGAGAGATGCTCCAGTCACTTCATCATCTTAGTGGCCCTTAGCTGGTCTCCAGTATGCCCATATCTCTCTCTCTTGTACTGAAGAGCACAGAGCTGAACACCAGCACTCCAGGTGTGGCCTCATCAGTGCTGAATAAAAAGGGCAGGATCACCTTCTTCCACACCTGGCAGTACTCCTGTAGTGGAGCCCAGGACACCATATGCTTTCTTTGCTGCCACATTGATGGCTCATGTTCAATTTGGTGTCAACTAGGACCCCCACGTCCTTTTCTGCAGAGCTGCTTTCCAGCTGATCACCCCCAGCCTGTGCTGGTGCCCAGGGCTCTTCCTTCCCAGGGGCTGGGCTTTGCACTTACTCTTGGTGAACTTTTTGGGCTCCTCTTGGCCCATTTCTCCAGCCTGTTGAGGTCCCTCCGGATGGCAGCATGACTCACTGGTGTATGAGCCACTCCTTCCACCTAATTAACTGTTTTTTTAAGGCACTAAAAAGTGTGATATAATTGATTTAAAAAAACCTAAAACAAAACCCACAACCGGCAGCAATTTGGAATAATGTTTCATCACAGGAAAAATTTATTAAACATTTGCTAACACAGGAGGTTTTGGTAGCATTTTGCTGCTAAATACAGTATCTACTCAATTTATTAAACTATTAACCATTCCAATTCAAGCATGAGGGAAATTATTTTGGTTTTGCCAGTAATTCATATTTGCAAAAGAAAGGCCTGGCACGCAGGAAGAAGGGCAACACCAGATGTAAAACCTTCTAAAGAAAATTTAAAAACACATAGCATCATTAAGACATTAATAAGATAATGAGCTCTTTGTAGCGAGGAAAGGGGGAAGTTGTTCAAAGAAAATTTGCATTAGAAGGTTTCAAAGTTTTCTTCCAGGAAATTCATAGAATCCTAGAAGCCTAGAATCCTACAATGGTTTGGGTTGGAAGTGACCTTAAAGATCAACTAGTTCCAACCCACTCTGCCATGGGCAGGGACACCTTCCACTAGAATTCCTTGCCTACAGACTGCTCAGGTGGCCTGACAGACTCCAGCCCAGTGAGGGGCTGCCCTCCCTGCAGGGCAAGCCTGTGCCCCCAGCCTGTGGCACAGCAACGCTCTTCTGTCTCAGGCACAGCCAGGCTCCTGACTGCAGGGCAAGAAGCAACAGGCAGTGCCCTGCCCGGGCTACCACTGTGGGCACACAAGGGTACACAACCAGGGGAACAGGTTTGCAAGACAATACAAAACCAGGAGAAGCTGTTGACTCCATCGAAGGCAAGGAGGCCCTGCAGAGAGACTTCAACAAATTAGAGAGATGGGCAATCACCAACTGCATGAAGTTTAACAAGAGCAAGTGCCAGATTCTGCACCTGGGATGGGGCAACCCTGGATGTATGTACAGACTGGTGAGTGAGAGGCTGCACAGCAGCTCCACAGAAAAGGCCCTGGGGGTCCTGGTCAAGGGCAAGAGGAATATGAGTCAGCAGTGCTCTGGCAGCCAGGAGGACCAACTATGCCCTGGGGGGCATCAGGCAAAGCATCACCAGCTGGTCAAGGGAGATTGTCCCACTCTGCTCCATACTGGTGCAGCCTCACCTCGAGTGCTGTTGTCCACAAAATTCTGATTTGTCACCTGGTATGCAACAAGTCAATAATTACACATTGAAGAGAGACATTGATTATTTATTCAGAGTTGCCCAAGCCTGGATGCCCAGTGGAATTCCACAAATCAAGCACATGAACTATCAAAACTTTTTACTAGTCATACGTTTTAGCAAACAAAGGAATTACTGTTTTTTGGGTACAAGTTACAAAATTCTCTTATTAATTAGTTCTGTCATCTACTAGTTAATGATTCTCTCACTTTTCATGCTAGTAAGTCCGCATGACCAGTTTTTCCCTTCTTTTGGGTCGGTAGGCTTCTTGGGTCAGTGGTCTCTGAGTCAGTGGTTGTGGACCTCCTCCTGTCGGAATTATCTTTTACCCAGTTGGAACTGATTTCAGCACAATTGCTGAGCTGGGTTTATTAGTTTCTTCCTTATCTTGGGAGTTCGACCAGATGTCTTCATGGCTCATAAATTCTGCATTCTTTGCATCCACTATCATTGGACATCCTTTTTTTCAAGTCTTGTTAACCTCCCTCTAGGTATGAGATCACTGAAGCATGTCAAGCCCTAAACTTTAACAAGCTAATTCTACCAACAAGTAATCTGTTTTTCTAACACATAGACATCACTTAGAGCTTGCTTGTTAGCTGCCGTTTCACAGATTAAATCTCCCTTCTTGTTGATTAGGCTTGAAAGTATACAAATATCAAACATCAAAAAACATTCTTTCTTAAGAAAATTCTTACATATTTCACATTTTGCTAGAGTACTGCGTGCAGGCTTGGGCACCACAATATAAAAAAGACATGAAGCTGTTAGATAGCATCCAAAGGAGGGCCGTGAGGATGAAGGGTCTGGAGGGGAAGCCTTATGAGGAGCAGCTGAGGTCACTTGTTTAGCTTGGAGGAAACTGAGAGGAGACCTCCTAAGAGCCTACAGCTTCCTTGCAAGGGGAAGCAGAGAGGCAGGCACTGATCTCTCTCTCTGGCGATGACAGGACCAGAGGGAATGGCATGAAGTTGTGTCAGGTGAGTTTTAGGTCAGTAAAGGTTCTTCATCCAGAGAGGGTGGTTGGGTACTAGAACAGGCTCCCCAGGGAAGTGGTCACGGAACCAAGCCTGACAGAGCTCAAGAAGCGTTTGGACAATGCTCTCAGGCACATGGTGGGATTCTTGGTGTGTCCTGCGCAGCGCCGGGAGCTGAGCTTTGATGATCCTTGTGGCTCCCTTCCAACTCGGGATACTCCGCGGTTCTACGTTCACGGCCACCACAGAAAACCACCGGCCCGAGGGCGTCGACTGCGCAGGCGCAAAAAACTCCGCCCCTGCTCCCTCTTGTCGGCGCTGATTGGGCAGGGAGGGCGCGCGCCGCGGCCGTTGGGGGGAGCGCCCCGCCCCCTCGGCCGTTGGCGTGCGGTTGTCGTGGCAACCAGGGGCCAGCGGCTCGCGCTCCTCCGCCTGCCGCCGTCCCAGGCCGGGAGCGTTTCCTCCTGGGACGGACGGCTGGAGGAGATCCCGTCCCACACCTGCCATCAAGGCCGCCTTCCCGCCGGCCGAGCTGGGAGGCGCTTGGTGGTGGGGACGGGACGGGGAGAGCGGTGTGAAATCGCATGGCTGTAGGTAGGCAGGAGCTGGGGGACCGAGGGAGGGAAACCTGCCTGCCTTTCCCTCTGTTGTTACTGCTGGGTTTGGAAGGAGGTCCAAGAAAGGGCTCTGAAAGGTATTTTTTATTTAAAAAGCAAGAAAGAAACACCTTTCTCAGTAAAAAAGCCAAGCAACCTCACAATGTCCTTCCAGCTTTCCTTCAGCCCCTTTTAAAATAAAAGTAAAAAGCAAAACCCGCGTGGATAAAGGGGAGCTGCTGAGCTTCAGCTTTGTTTAGTAAGCAAGGAAGTTTTTCTGCCTTTGCAGCTTCAATCTCGGCTTTTCCTCAGTTTCTTCTAAATGTAATATTGGCAAGGAGGATTCTCCGTCCCTTGGCTTATGTGGCTGCGTGAGGTTTAGCACTGGGATGCTTTTTGGGATTGGCATGTTTTTTGCCGTCTCCTCAGTTCTTCTAATACACTGATGTAGGGTGTCGTGTATTGGCGAAAATATATAATGTACATTGGATTATGTACTGGCTAAAAAGGCAACGTTTTTCTTCTGAGTTATTAACTTATATTTGTTAGGGTATTTTTATCCCCAGGCTGTTTCTGCATCCAGTTCAATATTAGTATATTGCCGCCTTCTCTCTCCTCTATGCCCTGATTTATGAGCTCACTTGGAACCATAGTCAAAATATGAAAAAAAAAAAAAAGTTGTTGTTGTTATAAGAGCCTTTACAGTGTGGAAAAACTCAGTTTTTCACTGTGTAGAACAAACGCACGTGCAGTTGTGTGCATGACTAAAGTGCTGTGCAGATGTGTAAAGAGTATTGTAGCATAATATCACCTCTCACAGCCTTAAAACCTGCTATAGAGAGTCTTGTATTTTCTGACAAATAATTAGGTTATGAGCTTCCATTAATTAGCTACTTACATATTTCTTAAGTAAACTTAAGCAAACTGAAACAACCAGTCAAATATAACAATGTATTTTAAATGCTTTTTAACCCACCAAAAGTTTGAAAAATTGCCAGCAAAAAAAGGGGTAGATTTCTACAGCAGCAAAGTGCGTACATAAATGTGTCACTGTAAGCAAAAAGGGAATGGGTGAGGAAACATCAGATTTGAAGTACACATGTAAGCTTTGTTGAAGATCTGGGATACAAGTAGTAAACCATCTTCCTTTTCTGTTTTTAAGGCATTTTGTAAAACAACTTATAAGAGCACGTCTTAGAAGAAGCGGTAGAGCAGCTTGACCTATTACAGAACTATGGTTCGACTAACACTGGACCTCGTTGCTAAAAATGTTGGTCACAAGAGTCGCAATGAAGACAACTTTGGACAGTATCTGCAAAAAATAACTCATCTGAATTTGTCAGATAAAAATATAGACACAATTGTAAGATTTATTTTTCATTCCTTTTAACCTGGCTACTGAAATGTTTTGTAATTACTGTTATGCTGAGTTGGTTATAGTTGGGGAGACAAAAAAGCAAAGCCAATTTTCCGTTTTATAACAGCTATAGTATGTTTTAACACTTCTATTGGCTTTCAATTAGGTTTTAATAATGCATCTGTTTGGGAGCATGCTTCAGCATTCAGTGCTCCTACTGTGTGGAACACTACTTATATGTAACATGTTGAAACATGAAATGCATGACATTTGAAATGTGAAAATAAACTTTTAGCTGTAACTTTTAATGTAAAACATCAAAGTGACTAACTCCAACAGTCTGCAGGGGTTCTTATTATCAACATGACACTTGTTTCTTTATGTGACAAGTCTTGCTGAAGTATTTTACTTACTTGAAACTGCAGAAATATATATTATCAGTACACTGTTTTTGCCATTAATTAATTAAAATAGAAATCCACGAAAGCAATTACACAAGAGAGATGAAGTGTTAAAGTGAAGTATTTTTTGCAGTATTTCACAGAACTATTATATAAATATGCAGTTCTTAAACAAAAAAAAAAGAAGCAATTTACTACTTTGATTATTTTGTACAATTCCTATTTATTGATGATTACCTTTATAAAAAAATGATCTGTAGAATAGAAAAGATGTAAGGAACTAGTAATTTTGCAGATCAGATTTTCTGTTAAAGAAAGCAGTAATGATATTACATACTATTAAGCACAACACTTATTTTTGTTAACACCATTATTTTTGTAGTCTTGGGAATTTTACAGAGTTGTTAACTCATAGCACAATCTTTTTAATCTATCTGTGATTTATTCCTTAGATTTCAGAGGAAGTCTGAGAAAGGAAAGGGAAATTCAGGAACAGGATATAACCTGAGTGAGGTTAACAAATTTGGACTGGTGTAGTGGCTTTTTCAAATTAGTCAGGTTAAAAATCTGCCTTTTTTTTTTTTTAAATTGCTCCCTAGGGATTACTCATTTAAAAAATAACCCGTGAACTTTTCATTTTCAAAGACTAAACCTACAAACTCAACCCAGTCTTCCTTCCTCTGAGTTTAATAATAGGAAATTTATACAGGTCCCGAGTTAATTCAAATCGCCTCAAGATACTGAGTACATTTTGAAACTGCTGAACCCTGAACAACTACATTGTTGTGTATCGTGAATTTCTGCTTTAAAAGTGTGATTTCAGTCAAGAGGAAATCACTTGTTCTGTATGAACAGATCCCTGCAAGCAAATGGGTTTGTTTAGCTCACTCTTAGGAATGTTGATAGCCACAGCAAATTACTAATTGGATCAGATCATTTGATGAGGACTGGCTCATCAGATGCCACAGTGAAGTTTTACAGAAACCTTCATAAAAGGTGTGACCTTTTAGTTGTTTAATAGGAATACATTCAAAGACACTCAACATTTGAGTGCAAACTCAGGCTCAGAAACATACCAAAATACATTGAAGTACAAGGTTTTTGTATAAATCAGTATTCCTTTGCCAAGAACTGGTTTCCATTACATCAATGAGGTTTGATGGAGACAACTACACTAACAACTATGCTTTTCTGAAATCCACCTTATGAAGGCAGGGAAGGTAATGAAGTCACACAGGATGTGTGTACCTGCTCATTATGTCTGTAGTCCTCAGCTTCTGTATGGCAGAATAGTAATGACAAATTTCAGTCTTAAGGCTGATGATTGCTGACACTAACTGAGTTTTTCCAGGAAAAATAGTGTTTAAAAGTGTTTGTTAAAGGTGAAAATTTATAAATCGTGCAACAGAACTTAAATATAAGAACAATCAAAAGCTTCCCAAAGCAGGCATTGAGTGAACATTATGTAGCATTAATTTGTAATTGTTTATTTCAGGGTGTCCTCTCTTTCTGTAAAAATCTAAAGGTTCTATATTTATATGATAACCAAATCAGCCAAATCCAGAACTTGGACTTTGCTTCAAATATAACACACCTTTACCTTCAGAACAATTGTATTTCAAGTATAGAAAATCTCTCATCACTGAAAAAGCTTGAAAAACTGTAAGTTGAAAATAATGTATTTGTTTTACTAGTAAAAACAATAGTTATTTCACTAAGAAATTTTAAAAAATTATGTAGCTGTTAAGATCCTTTTAGTTCTTAAATTCTGCTTTTCAAATAAAAGTAACTGCTTATTATTTTTTTATTAAGTGTTCTGTGTTGTAAGTAATGACATACCATCTTTACATATATATTTGCATTTAAATGATTTTATTTTTTCGATCAATAATAATAATAATAATAGCAAGAGATAAAACTGCTAAAAAAACCCTTGGATCAGTTAACTGAATGTTCTACTCGTATGCTAGGTTCTTTCCTTTTCTAATTTCCAAATATTATTCAATAATACTTTAAAAATATTTTTCTTAATATATTGAAGTGTTGTGTTTGCTCTTACTTTCAAAGGGTATTAAATCTATTTTGGGTTTTATTCTGCAGGTATTTGGGAGGCAATTACATCACTGTAGTAGAAGGTTTGGATAAAATAGGAGAAATAAGGGAGCTACATATTGAAAGTCAACATCTCCCTCTTGGTGAAAAGCTTCTGTTTGATCCGGTATCTCTTAGGTCCCTGGCAGTAAGTACATTTTGAGAATTTCAGTGAGCCATTAATCAGTGGATCAGTATTTTAAGAAGAACTGATCAGGACTTGATCACTCCGTGTTTTCCTTTTCTGCCAATTGGTGGCATTCTTTCAAGTTCTAACAAGGAGATCCCACACCAATTCTCATAAAAGCTAGTGGTCCAGCAGATTCTACTTCTTCATTTTTTTATTATGAAGGATGAAAATGAAAAAATAGAGAGGAAATGAGGAAGTATATAGATGCCCTATATCAACAGAATGTGAATAAACTAAAAAAGGGGTAGGAATTTATCACTCTTAGTTTTCTTAGTCTATTTAGTTTGTAGTGAATTAGTTTGTTGGTATTTCTCCGATTTGATTGTTACACATTTTATTTACTGCCTTTTGTATTCCTCTCGAGAATGTAATGGAGAAAAAAAAAGTGCAAACAGCTTTTTTTTTCCTGGATAATAAGAACAACACATCAAAAGCATTCTGTTTTAGTTCTGCAGTTTTTCTATATTGTGGTATGTCATGATTTCAGGAAAGTCAGCTTTTGAAGTTGTCTTTCAATATCTTAGTTGCTCAGAAAACATAAAATGTACACTTGAAGAGGTTAAAGAGGAGGCTTTAGTTGCTAATGGATGTAGTTCTATACTAAAAAAAAATTCCTCTTGCTCTATTTCCCAAAGTGTAGTCAGTACTCAATGAGCATTTTTTGTGAAGATAAAGAACTCACTGAAAAGTGAGTTCTTTTGTTCACATGTATATCATAAACATTTGGCCTAGCTCTAATTTCTTCTCTTTTGAGATTAAGTAATCCAAGACATGTATTGCAGTTTTTCTTTCATAGAAATGAGCCATTACTGTGAGAGCACTTGTACTATATTGGAGAAATTGTCAAAGAAGAGGGGGATTATATAGCAATAATCCTCCCAGGATAATAATTTATAATAAACTCATCCATGTTTTTCAACATCCTGGCCTAGTCACTTGCATTTTGTTCTTTATGGCTTTTACTTAAGGCCTTTTGGTGTGGGTTTTGTTTTGTTTTCTAGGAAACACTTTGCATTCTTGACCATGTAACATCTTTGTGGAGGCTAAATGTAGAAGAATTCTATTTTATCCTCTGAATGCTAAGTGTTTAGACCCTTTTTAAGACATCTCTTTTTACTTCATCTTCTTCTGTCTTTTTCTGGCTCTTAATGCTGTCAGAGATGAAAGAGCCAAGAGCATGAGGCCATATAGCTCTCTTTGTACCACAAGCAAATGTTTTGATGATGACAATGTCATGAATCTGAGGAGGTTAGGTTTATGAACTGGGTGTATCAGGATGATACTGGTAATTTCTGTCTGCAGTGTAGATCTTGGTCAGATTTTTGAAGGGGGTTGTTTTCCTGTATACGCTGCTGAAATAGAGATTTTCCAACTAATGGTAAGTCCCATACCTTGTATAGTTGTAAACTCACTGTATTAGGTGTCCCTTTTCATTTCCTAGAGGTATAAACTTCTTCTTTCTTTTATGTGAAGCCTAATTTAATATGTCCTGGGATAAACACCTGAAACACATTTTGTTTTTATCTAAAATGTAAAGATATCTGTAACTATTGCTTGTTACAAAAGGCAAAGTGCATTATGTGACTCTCTATTGTTCCAAAGAAAGTTAAGGATCAGAGATATGTATGCCCAAAGGTTTGTAGGATCAAGCCTGAAAGAAAAACAGTTAAATGAGACTATGTGGGCATCAGATACAAGCTTCAGCTCTATGCAGTTCATCTGCAGTCTTGGGGCCCCCAACATAAGAAGGACATGGACCTGTTGGAGCAAGTCCCGAGGAGAGCCACAGAAAGGATCAGAGGGCTGGGCAACTGTGAAGACACGCTGAGAAAGTTGGGGTTCTTCAGCCTGGAGACAAGAAGGATCTGGGGACACCTTGTAGAAGCCTTCCAGTACCTGAAGGGGGCTTATGAAAAGCTGGAGAGGGGCTTTTTACAAGGGCATGTAGTGATAGGACACAGGATAATGGTCTTAAGCTGATTGAGGGCGGGTTTAGATTACACATTAGGGAGAAATTCTTTACTGTGAGGGTGGTGAGGCACTGGAACAGGTTGCCCAGAGAAGTTGTGGATGGTCCATTACTGGAAATATGCAAGGCCTAGTTGGATGGGGCCCTGGGCAACCTGATCTAGTGGAAGGTGGCTCTGCTTATGGCAGGGGGATTGTACCAGATCTTTAAGGTCCCTTTCACCCAAACCATTAATTCTATAAAATGCAGTCAATTTCCATGGCTGTTTCATACTTCAAAAATAGAGTTAGTAGCACTTGCAGAACTCTGGAAACCATTTGAACATGTTTAAAGTATAACAAGCATTCAGTATTTACTGAGAATTCCTGAAATAATTGAGAAATAATCTTACTTTGGTTTGACTTCAAAACCAAAATAATTTGCATTTTACAACAAGATAGCCAACATAAAACACTCTGTGAGGTATTTGATAGTTGTGTTTGCATGTTTCTGCTTCATATGCTTATTCATCCTTTACAATACTTTTCTGTAAGAATGTACAACTTGACTCACACATGACTTAAAAAAAATATTTCTTTTTCTGCTTTTCTTTCTTCAGAAATCTTTATCTGTATTGAATATCAGCAATAACAACATTGATGAATTAGAGGATCTGGCAGTTTTGGAAAATCTTTCTTATCTTAAAGCAGTTGACAATCGACTTCAACATATGAAGGTATTAAAATAAATCTTTGTTATATTAAGTATGGGTGATAAGAAATTAGTCACATTCATCTTTATCACTAAATATAAGAGTAAAAATAAATTTTACTTCTGCTGTTACTGAATCTTTGACTTGTCAAGCGAAGCTGTTTCTTCTCATCCAGAAATCTTATTGAGATTAAAAATGGAGAAGCATTAATGTAGGATGTCAAAATTTATATTTTTATTAATTAATACTAAAATGAATTGGCTTAGATAGTAACCCAAATCACGAAGACAAAGCCTTGATTAAAATAAGCTCTTTCATTACTATTTCTACAGTCTATTTCCTTAGAAAAGTTAACTTTCATTGGTTAGTAATTATTTAAAAAATTGTTTGTATTACTTCTTAGAATGCTTAATATATTTTTAACAGAATGTAACAGAATTTGGCAGTTCTGTTTACTAATGAGGAGATTGCAGTATTTGGTGTGCATAACCTATAAATAATCTAGGTCAATATACTTTATTTGGACTTTATTTTCTATACTTTAATATTAAATGTTGAATGGTGCATATCTGTTTTACTAGAGAACTATTAATGCTTTGTATTTCAACCTGTGTTTCTGGCTGGCAGTTGTGATTGAATTCACGTCAAAATACAATTCGTGTAAGTTTTTGCTGAGTAATTAAAACCACGTTATATCAAAATAACAGTAAGCTTTTTCAAATGGACAGTTTCTCCAAAGCTTCCCTTTTGAAAAGGATTCCCTTTCTAAATAAAACATATTACAAATATTTTTAATTGGCTCTTTCTTTTGTATAAATAAATATACTTCAGTTGTGATGATCTTAGAAGAAGATTGTTTTAGGCAAAGAACCAATTAATTTTAAGAATGAGGATGCCAGTTTGGAGAGTGTTTTCAGTATCTCAGAGGGAAAAACGGTGTGCTCTGAAACAGAATAAGGAGAGGTCAAGAAGACTGCACTATTCAGTAACTGTGTATGTATTATTTAATCATTATTAAATTTCATTATTTAATCATCAGGAAGATCAGAGTTAAATTTGCCCAAATCAACTAGACATGTAGATTTCTATGTTATATGGTCACAGCTTTTGAAAAATTATGTGGTTAGCATTTGAGTTTGCTGCTGCTGTCAGTTACACTATCAAGCTCTGGTATATTTTCAAAATTACTGTCCTGTGTGTTTTCTAAACAATCTCCAAGTTTTGAAACATATGGAACAGAGAGGATATTTCTTTTCATATGTTTGCAGACCTGTAAAACTAATGAACATATCAAATGTATTTTCCATACAGTGTAACGCACGTGGATATCCAGCTTTAATTAAAACAATTACTGTGTTTTAAGAGATCACATTTGAGTGGGCTCTACTTATCACTAATATAAATTCTTAAAGAAATAAAGACCAAACTGTTGAAAAAAAGCATTAAGCCATGCAAAGTATTTTTTAAAAAGTCAGTTTTAGCTCTGTGTAATGTAAGAGTCTTTAGCTCACAGTGGGCATCTAGCAAGAGAACAATCTTATACAGCCACTGACTGTTCAAAAAAAATAGCTGAGGGAAATTCTGAGTATGTTTCAATATTTTTGCAACCCTGAATTTCATGATTCCATGGCTTACATTATTCTACAACTGTGAAGGCTGAAAGGATTTGAGGGGTGTACAGTTCTATGCACTTCATTGGTTTTGTGGGCTGAACTTGTCACACAGAGCAAAGGCTCTTTCACTCCCACACAGGCTGCCTCCGCTCTCCTCCCTCTTGCCCCTCTGTTATCAAAACTCTGATGTGTACCTGTTTCTCATGCCAAAAGCTCTGTGTCCACTGTTTTCCCATTCCTGCTGTCCCATCACTGCCATTGAGAACGTCCCTGGGAATGTCTGGCATTGATCAGAGATCATGGCAGTGCTGCATGACAGGGAAGTGTCAGAGCTCTGTACCCAGCTGTGCTTCACCCAGTGGGAAGAGAAGCTGTAGAGGAGTCATCCGTATCCGCGTAGGGCTGGTCAACAGCAGGGACCTGTGCAGCAGAGGTAGATGGCTGCAGGAATAACATGGAGTCTTTTTAAAGGAGGAAAATGTGAAGGGCATAAGAAATGCACAAAATGCAGTCTTCTTATGTAGACTTTTTGCACATTTGTGTATTTAGTATAATTATTTTATATCTAAACATTTTTCTCACTTTTTTCACTTTATTATGAAAACCCATATTCTCTTGCTTTTCAACTATGCCCACTTGATTTCAGAGTAGTTGAAAATTAGGACTAGTAAATTCAATTGCTTAAGCTTCTAGCTAATTCAGGGCTTTATTACCATAACTAACAGACATCAGGGCATATGACCTTGTTTCACATGACTGAAGTTTATGTAATGCAGTCTGAACAGTAGACCGAAGTAAATCAAGTAAATTTTCTTAATTAATGCAAAATAACTATGACTAGCTACCACATGCAAAAAGCATAATTGATTTTAATAGAATTGGCATTTCTTTATTTTCTATTGCTTGCTACTTGATTTATTTATCCTTTTCACTTTAGTCAGGATCCCCAGGTCTTCTAGACTGCAGTGTATTTGGGTTGGAATACTAAGGGAGTTTTTTAAAAGCACTATATCTATTAAAAAAAAAACCACAACTATTCCTGTTTGCAAAAAGCCAGAATATAATTTATTTATTAATTAAATTAGTTTTGAGAACTAATTTAGTGTGTTTGGATAGATAGAGAAAATACATCTAGAAATACCTGTAAAAATCTGTATTTCACAAGTCTTTAATTTATTCAACCTCTGCTCAGTATTGATTATGACAAGAGGATATCACAAAAGATGAATTCATTCGCTTCAGAATTGAGTCGGGAACAAGAGAAAAATTATAGATTTTCTCAAATAGATTATGACAGGTAATCAAAATGGTGACAAATTGCTGTCTCTAGATGTATCGGGGCAGATGAACTAGACGTTTCCGATAAAAAATGGAGCATACTGGTCAGATACCAATTCTTAACTGACCATCGTTAATTGGTAAGAAATTGCCAGCACTACAGCTGCCTACTCAGGCACTTGCCCTTCCCCCTCTCCCTCCCTCCCCATTGGAATATAATTTGCTCGTCAGTATTTTGTAGCAGACCTCAAAGTGATAGCATGACATGATCATTTATCAAACGGAGCCTGCCCAGAAGAGTGTCTGGTCCCTTTAGTACAGCTTATTGAAAGGCTGGGATGTGAAAGCACTTTATTAGAGACAGGAAGGCAATGAACAACTAGAGCGTATCGAAAGGGTAATCATATTTCAGCACAGGATTAGTGCACTCTTAGATAAACATACACTGGAGTAAGCATGTTCTGGGTCATTTATCAAGTAAGTAACAGCTAACAAAAATCTTCAGGATTCTGTATACATTCATCAAAGTTAAACTGTATACATTTTGTTTCAATAATAGACAACTTTGTGTTGCAAAACTATTACTTGAAAAAATTATTTCTAGTGAAATCTAGAACACATTACAGATTTCAATGATAATGATGAAGGCTCAGGTAAGAATAAATAAATACATTTGCTCAATTATTTTTCTTTTTTAATAAGTCTAGCCTAAAATACTTCTTTCCTAAACTGTGTTTGTGATTCAGTGTTAGCACTTAAGCTACAGGGGTTATCATGTTGCTGTACTGATGCGTACTGATTAAGCTTTACTGTTCAACATTATGAGAATTATTAACATTTCTTCATGTAGACCAGTCCTCAGAGTTTCTTGCTTTGTTTTATCAATCTCGATCCTCACAGAACCAGACTTTTGCTCTCTATTTTACTAAAAAGACATTATTATCACTGAATAACAATATGACGATATCACCATCATCATTGATAGACCAAGAATTAAATGGTTTGGAGGTGTGAGTCTGTACTGCCACTTTCTCTTCCATATGATTTTTTCTAAACGTATGTTATATAACCCATAGAAATTTCCTAGGAGGATTTTCTACCAAGAGAGAAGAGCCTGCAAAAGCAGAATTCTCCCTGCTTGCATTACCCAGGCAATTTTCTAGATTTGGAGGAACTAAGAGATGCCTACATTGCTAGGTACTTCATTATTGGCATCAAGCTGCAAAATTCTACACACTTTGCAGTTTAGAATCTGTCATAGCATGATTTGTAGATTTTTCTAAATTATTACAGCAACAAAAGTTCTCTCTCCATGTATTTATACAGATTGTTTTGAATACCTCCTTAACCTTTTCACATATATAAGGAAAGCCTATCCAGAATGACAGTTAAATGAAATTTTGGAAAGAAAGTATTTCAGAAAGTAGGGTATCTCAGTAGAAGGGACCAATCTGCTAAGCTTTGCATGCTTTTAATGTGAATTTATTGTATTTAAAAGACAGAGTAGGTCATACTGCCCTTGGGTAACCAGACAGAAAGCCAGATGGAGAAGGGTATATTTCACAAATTTCACTGTTTGGGCCAGTACTGTAACTGACCACCCACAGTTATGTAGGGGGGATTACTGTTTCTCCTGTAAAATACATACATATAAAGAGAGAGGCAGTTTACTGTAGCTTTTTTTTTTTTTCCAGTCTGTTCTTTATCTGTATAAAGTATTTATTCTTCCACACGCTGATACTCTAAGGGCTCTGTGAGACCATAGGGATGCATTAAGAGACATTACATATCATACAGATTTTTTGGTTGGTAATTCCTCGGCATTAGGTGCTTATAAGAGGGATTGAAGTGGTCGTTTTCCATAGCTGACATAACTGTATCCTTAAAAATGCAGCTTCTTCCAACTGTATCACCATTTCTTCTGTGTGATTATGATATATTCAGGGGATGTTATGTACCACACTATTTGAAAATGTACATTCTTAATGTGCATATTCATACATATTAATAGTTTCATTGAAATTATTTCTGTGTACAGGATTTGGGCCTGGCTGAACAAATCACATTACTATTGAATTTTGTTTTGTTGTTATATCAACTGCAGGATTTGAAGGTTGTGTTAAACAAATGGACAAAGCTACGCAGAATGGATCTTAGAGGAAACCCCATCTGCCAAAAACCAAAGTACAGGGACAAGGTTGTAGTACAGTCACAAACTTTAGGTAAAAAATCAAACCAATAGCCCACCCATAACCCCCACTCTTTTAGAAAACAACTGATACATTAATAGTTCTTGAATTGCACTATGTATGTAAACACAGTTACTGCTATAGAAATTTATTTCAAGTGATAAATTTTTAATTTATGTACAAAGCTAAAACCGTTTATATAATCAACTTCACAAACCATGTTGTTTGACTTTTGCTATTAGTGGTAGTAATTTTTTTTACAATAGATGATTGGTGAGATTGTTACAAGATAATAAGGCTTTTTTTGTGTTCGTGTTCCAGATGTAGTGAAACTGATTTTCAAAGACAATTTTAATCTACTCCCCTATCAATCTGTAGCAGTTGCCTAGGTGTTTGTTGTACAGTGCCAGCTGTACAGATCCTACCTTACTGTGTTTGAATTTGTTATATAACTTTTGTCCTTAAACTTAAAAGCAATTTACATTTATGTTATGAGTGTATTTGTTAATCTTAACCTTATATATCCCATATACATTTTTATTATTTTGATATAATTTTAGCATAAAAGGAAGAAACTTATTCTTCTATACCTGAATATTCATTCTGTAGAAATAGGTTAAAAAAATCTGCTAATTTTTTTACTTTTTTGGATAAAGGTGGCAATTATCTTTCAAGTTGTAATTATAGAACTTGGTTTTTCTAAGAGTACAAAATATCATCCATTAAGAAAAAGAAAAAGCCTATCTGCACAATCAAAATAACAGTACCTTAGGACACTTCTAATGCAACCAAAATTTGTGGACATGTGAGGTACTTCATTTGGTCTGACTCAAAAAATGCAGATGCAACCAATGAAACACAGAGTGTAAACCTGATGGCACCTAAGTGAGTAAAGTTAACCTTAGAGAGCCAAATCTGTGTGTCTGTCTTCATGAGCAGTAGGACTCTGTGATTGCTAAGACGTAGTTTCCCTCTCAGTCTGAGTTTCTGTGTCTTATCTATATCTTGTGCAAGAGCATAGCTTTTCTTCAGAACTTTCTATAAGGTGCTGCATGTTAACCAAATCTGAAATATATATATATATTTCCCTTGAAAGTTATAAAAATAATAGATGTTTCTTTTGTAATTAAGACGTGTTAACTCACTCTTGCAGCTTGAATATGAATATCAATCTGTATTGGGTATTTTTTTTCTTTACCAGAATGCTAAAAAGAGAAAAAAAGATTTGAAGGGAGCATATATAGAACCAGTACATGTTACATACAGCTTTGTAGAACCCTTTAGTTAACTTTGTATCACAGAAAACGTTCACTTCTCTTTGACAGAATCCCTTGATGGGAAAGAAATTAAAGAAATGGAAAGACAGTTCTTAATGAACTGGCAAGCCTCCAAAACTGCCAGGAAAAAAAGCAAGGAGAGAATGACAGATGAAGGTACAGTCTATGTGCAATTTTGTAAGCAAACTAATCAATTACTTCATGCTTATTTACAATATTATAGAAATAATAAAATAGCAGCTAACAGTAAATATACTAAGAATGAGACTTGTACCGGTGCTGACTCCAAAACGCAGGAGTAGAAATTGAACTTTTCCAATATAAATTTAATTTTAGCACTAATTCATGTGTTGTTTTTTTTCTTTCCATCCCAATCTCCCAGAATTATGGAAGGGAGGAGCTAGTACATTTTGAGTGTGTAAATACTTAAGTTTGCTTTCCATATTTAAAGAAAGTGTTGGGCATTTGAAAGAAAACATGCATGAAATACATCAGACTTGTAAAATCTATTTGTTGATACTTATTTGATCTGTGTAAATTGCCAGTCCTTTGAAAGGGCTTCACGAGATACATGACTAGCAGAAGTACAAGTTTTACACTTGGGAAGAAAATAAATGTTTGGGAGGTAAAAAAACCTTAAACCCTTTTGGGGGCTTAAAAGCAACATGTTTTTGAAGTGGGAAAACCAATTAGTAGATTAGTTTTGAAACCGAAGGAAAACCTGAAGTATAATGAGATTTTTTTAAAATTGTGGTGTAGTAGTGGCTGTTACAGAGTTGACTGCATGTTAAAACATAAATGACTTAGTAGCATATCTTGCCATCTTGCAGAATTTGGAAAGAGACATTAGACTTCAAATTACTCAAAATGGTTTGAATGACCATAATTATAAAATAAAATTGATGACAGTTACACTGTTGCTTTTGGAAGATAAACTAATATGTTATTTTGAAGACATGAAGTGAAAACACTGCCTGTCAGCCCCAGCCCCCAAATAATTGTAATCTGCTCAGTGTTTGGAAGCCATATGTGAATGGCAATGGTTCTAAAATAATCATCTGAGTAACTACTGATATAAAAAGATGCTATGTAATTGAATTTACTCCCTTTCAAATAACTGTACCTGAATGGGAATACCTGCTTTAATATTCACCTTCATCAGTGTTTGCAGCACCTTCCATGATTCCATACAAAGTTTTCCATTCTCAATTATCAAATGCAAAGTAATTTACCTTGAGGCTTATTACACTGTTTTCTATAACAAGATATATTGGAACCTATGATCAATCACACTGAATATTAAATAGATATGGTTTGACCTGGCATATTAAATTAATCCTTTTTTTATTCTGTTTCCTGCAGCTGATTCTGAAACATCTCATCCTACTCTTGCCTTTCACCACAGTCACTCTGTGGAAGAAAAACCAAATTTTTTAGTTTTGTCTCAGAAGCACAAAATTGAAAGAAAACCTCTGCCAAGAATCCGTGAAAGAAAAAGTCAGATGAAAGCTCAGGTGTGTTCTTCAGACATCTTCCTTTTACTTCTGTTATTGCTTGTACAGCTCTTGCTGAATCAGTTGGAAAATGAGTACAGGAAGGTAGAATTTAATCTGAAATAATTTTTTTAACCGTGTTATATTTATTGTCTTTATTTCTTTAAAAGACAGGGTAATAGATTTCAGTTTCTGGTTATAAATCCATAGACTAGCTAACAGTAGTAACTTCATTGTTACTGATTTCTGTCATATGCATTTGATTGTACTATTTTTCTACAAAGGTAAAATAATATCAAGTTAATTTTGATTAATATCAATCGAAGTTAATTCTTGGAAGTACAGTTAAGGTGTCAGCACTATTGGAGAAGGGTGATCCTGTGCAGAGGAGAAACAATCAGTTTTCATCATTACAACTTACTTCTAACAGACGTGTCAGTGTATTATATATTTGATTAGCATTTTCCTGTAGCATCAGCTCAAGAACATGGAGACAATCGAGAAAGAAAAACTCACGTGTGTGCCTTACAGACGTTTAGACACTACATGAATTTAAACAATTCAGAATTTATGATATGTATTCTTTACTCATAGCCTTGTGCACTCTAGTGCAACTGTTGGTGGGAATAAAATCTGCTCATAGGCATTTGCAGTTTCACCTGTAGTAATAGTTTAATTTGGCATTTGGGATCTAATATCACTCCTTCCAGATTTATAATTATATTTTTAACCTAACTGTTTTATTATTTACCAGCTGAACTGGCCAACAACAAAAAAAATCATCATTTATGCAGTGCTGTAGATAAAATAAATAAATAAATGTAACCAACGCAAGTATTCTTTTGTAACTAAATTACTAAATGTAGTGTTCTATTTTACATTCAAATTAGACTTTATTAGTATGTTGGACAATTTAACTGAGCAACATTTAATGCTATTTTATTCTTGACAACTTACCACTTTCCATTCCATCAGTTTACTTCCTTCTGATTATTTGTTCTGATTAAAAATAACTGCCTTTCCCTTAATAAGAAGGGAAGAAGAAGAATTACAAATCACAAAGCTGCTCTCTTTCAAAGGATCATTTTTGTCCTTCACATGGCAATGGATACATTCTGACCTGAAAAGAAACTGAACTTGTCATATATATGTGCCCATTCTTGAATTTTTTTCTTGCTTCAGAAAGCAGTGGAGCAGTTTAAAAACAAGAACTGCAGGAACAATGCACTAGTTATCACAAATTAGTACTACTATTAGTACTACTATAGTGAATAGTCCAGGCTTGTGAGATTTAGAGGGGCACAGACTAATACTCATGCCATACAAACATGTTTGTGGGGTTTTTTTAATTCCATTATGAGTTTATCCACATGGTTAGTGTTCTGTCAGCTTGCATGTCATCTTTATTAGCATCCAGTCTTTTGGGCCAGACTGAGTAAAACTGCTTTTCATGTACCATTCCCCTTAGTCCTAAAAAAGGATGGAACATGTCTGTACAGCATCTTTTCTTCAGTGTAAGACCTTCTGCTATCCCCTGTGAGATAAATCATTCTGATTCTGCTTTACAATGTTGAAAAACTGTCCAGTTGTTGAGCTTCTTTGCTTGACAAAAGTTATCCCCATATTAAAAAGTTGGAGCACAGTCCTGTTGAAAACCCTTTTGACCCTAGAAAGGCAAAGATTGCATCTTTCATACTTGATTGGAATAAAATGTCTATATTTGTATTAATTTCCATTTGCAAATTAAACTATCCTAGTGATTTTTTTTAAACTGTTAGTCTAGAATATTTAGTCTGATTCACAGAAAGGTTAGGAGAAACTACAGTCAGATGACATGCATTTAGTATTTTCAAAAAACTTGTGAGAATTTTGTCTTAGATGCTGAAGGTTTCCGTACCTTACAATTTCATGTATAATCACTGATCCTGAGCTGTATTCTAATCTTGTTAGCAGAGGAATTCCATGGAAACCAAGAAGTCTTGGGAGTTAGTTAAAGGTTTGTGAATTCTTTAGAATGTTTTTGGGAGGAAAAAATACCCTCAAAATACAGAAATATTCATTCTCAGAGTATATGCATGTATGAAAAAATGACAAATCACAGTATTCCCTTGTCAGATTCAGTAATTAGGGATATACATAAATGTGCCCATATGTAAAGGAAGGAAATTTCGTCAAACTGAACAAATACCTGTATTGTTTAATTGAAATTCAGTATTGTACCAAAGAAATCAGTGAATTTTAATCTTATCCTCTATGTTAGTCAAATAAATTATTTGAACAGATGTTTCCTCTTTCCCTATACATGCTAGGTGATGTTTGACCTTGGCAACTGAAAAACAGGCATTAAATACCTTTTTAACCTACATCTTAGATCCACTGAGGATTGCATATCGCTTGAGCAATGAAAAAAGCCAGTTATTATGTGTCATTAATCTTTCTTTTTTTATAATATAAAAACAATAGTAGTATTGGATTTTAAGTTAGTTTTGAACATTTAGAGAAAATTATGGATATTGGCAGGAAGTAATTAAAAGAAAACAAATCACTTAACTATTTTAAAGATACCTAATACCTTGCAGTGAGATACACCATTATAAATTTTCCCAGAGTACAGAAGTTGTTGAAATTTTGATGTTGTAAACTTAATCTGTAACCAGCAGTTTCTGCCTGCATTTCTTTACTCATGGAATTAAATATTGTGGTAAGTATTCGTAGAACTCAAAATGTGGTGGGAAAGTCACCTTTTGTCTCTCCAGCATATGTTATGTGATTAGCAGTATGGTAATATCTTTAAATTATATAGTCAGTACGTAATGACACTGGATTGTGTCAGCTAATCATAAGCCACTCTGCTGCCACCATACACATCCTGCATAGTTCAAGTTCTAGTCCAGATGAAAGGAGCTTGCAGTGAGCAATGTTATGTACATGTTCTGCGTGTATACTGGGCTTTTGTTTAGATGAATCTAACCAGCATTATAATAAATAGAATTATTAAGGCCTGTTATATGACAGGTTTTTGGGGAGGGCTGATACTGAGATTTTAATGATGTATACTCAAAAGATTTACAATTGTATGCTTATTTCACATTACAGAACATAGTTTTCTCATTTGAGAGGGCAGTGGGGAAATAAATCTTGTTCTCTTACTGAATATCAATTGCAGCAAATCTGAAAATTCAAAAATAAAAAGTATCCTCAGCCTTGGCTTCAGGAAAAGAAGAAATACAGAGTTAAGATACAAACCAGTGCAGTTTTAGCTCCACACCCTGGAGCTCCTTTTAGCTGCTGAGTATCCCACAAGCACTCCAAATGTATTCAGAATTAGGTGCATTAAATGTTTGGAGATACCAGCTGCAGTGCTTTGGCAGAGCCTAGAGCGTGTTTTGAATGGACATGGAGTGCCTTTTCCAGCACCTACAGCCCATCTCACTGCCTTTCATTGATGATAGTGTTGAAGGAAAAATGTAAACATCTCCTTGGTGAGGTCTAGAAAGTATCATTCAGCATTTAGTGATGAAGGCTGGGGAAGAGAAATGTAAGGAATTTACTTGCCGTTGAATTATTCAGCCATGACATAGGATATGGAAGGAGTTGCTGCAATGCTTAATAAAGTGTAAGGATAAAGAGATAAAGTGAAGTTCTGAAATTAAATAGTGTTGCTGAAGCAGAGCCATTTGAATAAGGTCAAGTATTAGCAGTTTCTGGTTACTGTGACTCATGTAAGGTCTCAGCAGGCAATTCAGCCAATTGGTTGGTTCCTTTTCTTTCTGGAGAATATGCACTACTTGTAAAGGTGAGTATAAGTGCTTTCACAGGACCATAACTGACATTACAATAATGTGTATCTTCATGGTATTTTCGTATCCATGTTTTGTATCCACATGCTGGACCCATGTCCATTCTGCCCAGGATCATTCATACTGTTCATATACAAGGAAAAATATAACTCTGTTACCACAAACATGCAAGATGATATACAAATGGCATTGTAAACTTTCAGTAGTGGTAATTTAACAAAACAACAGAGAAAAAGTAGTTCTAATATATGCCAAATCTGTGGTACTTAACACTGCCACATCATTCAGCATCCTAAAAGCAGTGAAAAAAGGCATCCCTTTTTGACCATGCCCATGCCCGCTCCAGTTCTCCATGCTGCTGGCTGTGCCCAAAACTGAGAAGGAAAAATGACGTAAACACACACAAGACATGCATTGATAGACCCCCTGCACCCTTGAAAGGAATAAATGCTTTTCAAAATGCAGAGAGAGAGCACACATCTCCTGGTGAGCAGATAGACCACACATACTCTTACATGTCTGGCTGACCATATATATCAGATACACTTGATATATTGCCACTTGACTGGCAATCTGGCAGGAACACATTTGCTTGCAATAGACGGCTCCTTCTTCCAGGAAATATGGGCTATTTCCTAGACATTTAGAAGACCAAATGGCACATGTGACTTGTCAGCCAATAGGTCAAAAAATTACTGGGGCACATGTGGGTATGCAGGCTCTCATACACTTTCAAGAACATTGAAACCCTTCTGTTTTTTTCTGTTTGAAACCTTCTACATAAAATACATGAATATTTAGAATAATTTAGATTAGAAAAGGCCCCTTAAGATCATCAAGTCTAAATGTAGGTCCATTAACATTTTAAACAGAATGCAGAGAGGACTACTCAGCGATTTTAGAGTGAATTGCATCTTGTAACTGGCTCCATCAAAACTGTATCAGGAATGAAATGCTATTTTAGGATGTTAAATGAAAAGTAGATTCAAATCTTTGCATATCTATTTTTCAGGTGTTACTTGTTCACCCTAATAGTTAACTATATAAATGAAGCATTCAGTATGAAGTGTTTATTTCTTTCCTATCCTTAGGTCTTTATATGTATAAGTCAGTACTTTTAGACTACTGTTGAGATAAATCTTCAAAACTTCATAATGTTTTTGGTCTGCTGCATTAGCATTGCACACTTTTTATTGTGTAACTAATTTACAAAATTATAAAAATCACATTTGTAAAACACACATATGAAGAAAATAAACAAAGAAGTAATGCTATATTTTCAGGTTTTTAGAATACATGCCTGCATGGGAGATTTAAAAAGTAATTTGAGGCTAAAATAAAGACTGCTGCTTGAATAGGGATATATAAATAACTTCTGTAATAATTTCAGTGTAGCTCAGGTGAAGTCAGTTCCACTAACTTAATTTACTGCAATGATATAAATACTGTTTCAATATTTGCCTTCCTGTATTCTGTCACATGTTGTGTGGGCACACTCCCTTGTCTGAAAAGTTGAGAGCAGCTGCTTTAATAAACCTGAGGTGAGCAAGGTGAGCTGCTACATTTTGGAGGACAGCATTACAGTCACTAATTGCTCCTCAAATTCACTTCCATCACCTTGAGATTCATCCCATCCAGTTGCAAACACTTGGATATGTCAGATTTGCCTTAGTGATTCCTAAATCGATCATCATCTACTGTTGGTAGTATTTCTCTCTACTGAAAACTGTTCCTAGAACCCAGGACGTGTAAGACCAAGCCTTGCCAGTAAAGATTCTGATGCTTTAGAGCTTCCATGGTACTGTTGGTGTGTTAGAATTACCAAAAGGAAAAAAAAATTAGGGCATCAGCGCCTGAACACCTCCCCTTGGTACTTCTCTGATCAAAATCAGAATATATGGATAGATACATAAGCTTTATAATCACTGTGTATACCCACAGTGTTTGAGTTACTGATCTAAAGTTCACATTTGAACTTTAGAACCATAACCAATGAAAAAATCCTATTTTTCTTAATTATTACATTAAAAACAGTGCAAGGTGTAAGTTAATTTAATGTGGTATTATTTCTTTATATATGCAGGTATAAAGCAGTACACAGGACTGCCTGTGTATATAGCTTTTTATAAATCTACAAAAGCCCCACAATTCAAAAGTTCTGAGATAGGGGCAGAAAGGGGGAAAATACAGCCAGAAATGACTGACAACATCTTTCTATTCTCTTAATTCTGAGCAGAATTAAGTGCTGCATCAAAACAAGGTAAATCCAAGCCAGTCGTGAAATGAGCCATGTAACAGGCTAATACTTTAACTCAGAGAGAGATTTGAAGCAATAAGCTCAGCCTTTCTTGAAGAGTTAATGTATTAGACTGCCCAAAGTAATCACTAATTACATGTCCAGTAAAGTTGGGTATAATCAGTTACACTTAGTTTGTAGAAAAATGTTTTGGAATAAAAACCCGAGTCCTATCTGGTTTCATTTATATGAGAAATTACTTTGATTAATACTAAGATTTTATTTTTTATGGAACTTGAAAATTATCAGTAAGTATTTGATACAAACTTATGTGGAAAAAATGCTAACTATCACCATTTTTGTCTGTGGAAAAAGTCAGTCAATTTTGTAATAAAGGAATGTACAATGCCCCAGATGGTCAGATTATGTCAATTCAGAATAGCTTGGCCCCAGGTTTGACACTGGAAAAAAAAAACAACAAAGGATTTTCACTGCATCAGCCAATAACCTTGCAATAGGTAAAGGCCTTTTTGTTTCATCAGCAGCTTTTCATAACACTGCTTGCAAATTTTGTAGAAATGTTGAGTGGTCTCAGGAAGCACCAATGACAACAGGAGCAATGGGGGCTTTTGTGTGGTTCTGATATGAAGATCTCATCTATCTTCTGTGATCTTTCTGATTTAGGTTGAGGAGGCATCGAAAGTCAAGGCAGAAGCAAGTTGAATTCTAAAAGCCAGAAGTTATGAAGGATGTGAAGATTTGGCCATTACTGGATTTTTTTCCCCTCAAAGTTTGCAAAGAAAGATACTGGTGTCTCTATGGATATGTTATCTGTGTCTTTTTAACCTCAAAACCAGACAAAATTAAGTATGTTTAACTTCACACTGCCTTCTAAGAACATTTGGAAAAATAAGGGGACTAGTTATTTATTTAGAAGCAATACTTTGTATCAAAAGCATGTAAAAAACATCTGCAAGTGCAAGGTTAAACTGATTGCCTAGTTCTTAAACTTCCTCAGAAAATGAGCTGGTTTTAGGCAGTGCCTTACCTAGTAGCTGCTTCTTTCCATATGTGATACTCAGCCATTGCACAGAGGCACGTGCATAGCAGAGTCATAGAATCATTAAGGTTGGAAAAGACCTCTAAGATCAAGTACAACCTTTAACCTGACACTGCTGTGTTCACCACTAAATCGTGTCCCCAAGCACCACATCTGCAGATGTTTTTGACACTTCCATGGATGGTAATTCCACCACTTCCCTGGGCAGCCTATTCCAATGCTTGACCACCCTTTCAGTAAAGAAATTTTTCCTAACACCAAATCCAAACCTCCCCTGGTGCAACTTGAGGCTGTTTGCTCTTGTCCTATCACTTGTTATTTGAGAGAAAAGATCAACCCCCACCTGTCTACAACCTCCTTTCAGATAGTTGTGGAAGGTGATAAGGTCGGAGCCTCCTTTGCTCCAGACTAAAGAACCCCAGTTCCCTCAGCCAATCCTCCTAAGACTAGTGCTCCAGACCCTTCACCTGCTCCATTGCCCTTCTCTGGACACACTCCAGCACCTCAGTGTTCTTGAAGTGAGGAGCCCAGAACTGGACACAGGATTCGAGGAGCAGTGCTGAGTACAGGGGGACGATCACTGCCCTGGTCCTGCTGGCCTTGCTATTTCTGATACAAGCCAGGATGCCATTGGCCTTCTTGGCCACCTGGGCACACTGCTGGCTCATGTTCAGCCAGCTGTCGACCAGCATCCCCAGGTCCTTTTCTGCTGGGCAGCTTTCCAGCCACTCTGTCCCCAGCCTGTAGTGCTGCCTGGGATGATTCCGACCCAAGTGCAGGACCCAGTGCTTGGTCTCATTGAACCTTATACCATTGGTTTCTCCCTTCAAGCAGAAAGGAGCTATTACCACATGATTTTTGAGAAGATCTGTAGTCCTAATAAATAATTTCCATCACTTGGATTTTTCCAAGTTCTGGTGAATAATGTGGAACAATTAGGAGAGAAGGCACAATAAGATTAATGATGTCTGTGCTGGTTAATTTTTGGATTGGGAGTATTACACATTAATTTAACTTAAAATTCTGTTTTAAGTAACTGAGACTTGAGTTTGGCTTCTTTGCACTAGTTTGAGTAATTAAATGAATGCTCAAGACTTCTGATATAGGAAAATTCCAAACCTACAGGTAAGGAAAGGAAAACCCAGTTTACAAATTGCCCCTGGAAAAGAAACCTTTCCTAATGCACTTTCTCTGTATGAATGTCAGCTGAGCATCTTACACTTAAGACCCTCTCTGAAATAAGAAAGGATTTTTTCCTGAATAAGAAAATCAGGATCTATCTTTTTGCATGCAATGTTGTGTGTATTTTGTTATTGGTTATAAAGATAAATGTAATTTGATAGAATTTATTCAAATAAATTTAACTTTTGCATGTATTTTCCCCCTTGAATAACAAGATCTTCATCTTCATTATAAAGAACCAGATTTCCAAAGCTGAGGTAGTAAGTGAGTGGTACTGTAACTCTGAGGTGCCACATGCTTCTGTTAAACTGTTGTGGTCTAACCCCAGCCAACAACTAAGCCCCACACAGCCACTCGCTCACTCCCACACCAGTAGGATCAGGGAGAGAATTGGAAGGGGTATAAGCTAGGAAACTAGTGGGTTGAGATAAAGGCAGTTAAATAGGGAAAGCAAAAGACACACATGCAAGCAAAGCAAAACAAGGAATTCAATCACCACTTCCCATGGGCTGTCAGGTGTTCAGCCACCCCCAGGAAAGCAGGGTCCCATCACATGCTATGGTTACCTGGGAAGACAAATGCCAAACATCTAAACATCCGCCCCCACTTCACGTACTGAACATGATGTCATATGGTATGGAATGTCCCTTTGGTCAGTTGGGGTCACCTGTCCCAACCTCCCATGCACCCCCAGTGCAACCCCCAGTGCAACCCATACCAGCCCCTGTGAAGAAAATGAACTCTACCTCGGCCAAAACCAGCACATAAAGCTAATGAGCCATTTGCCTTCAGAATCAGAAAATTCAAATCACTAAATAAAGCTCTTATGTGTAGCTGTCATTGTTAGTCCTGAAATTAATACTAACCGAGAATGATACTTCTTGTTTTAGCTGTTGTCATCAATGATATTCAGATCAAGAAAGACAGAAAAGCATACATCAAAAAAAAGTTCATTCTTGTTTAAGCAATTCCCAGAGAAGAATGTCAATACTTTCAGTGAGCGTGTTCAAAGTGGCAGCTGCTCAATTGCTGACTCAATGCAGCACATTGGGAAGTTGCCTCCTGGTCTCTATGGCGTGGAGTTATCTTTCCATCTTACACTTCCCTCTGCCTTACACACACCCGTTTAAAACTGTTTAATGAATCATTGGTATTTCTTAATGTGGGTTATGCTGTGTCAGCCATCTAAAAAGTATGGCTTATTTTCCATAGGTTCTGAGTATTTCTGGATTAAAGATTTTACTTTCTTATATGTTAAATAAAACATTGAAGACCTGAATTAATTACTTCTGATACAACATAGGCCATGGGGTTTCACACAGAGAATCCCACAACCAAGCAACTCACATCCAGCTAAAGCAAACCCCTACCAAAATCTTCCTCTGATGAAACAGCAAAGTGGGTCTTGTTTTCACTCTGGATCTACTCTCTCTCTCACTTTTTGTATTCCATAATAGTTTGGCTACATCCCAGCTGCATACATGTATCATCAGGCCTATACTTTGGCCTGCCCTAAACCCCTGCATCCGAAGTCTGCAATTGCCCTTGAGTAAAATCATCCACACTGTCATTTGATGCATAAATATTCACACTTCTCTAGCTCCAGTCAAGCCTGCTCAGCTCTCACTGCTCACTCACACCAGCTACAATACTGTGCTTCTCACATGGCTGCTACCAAAGGGAAAATGGAGGGCCAGACCTATGGGGGTTCTCTTTACCCTGGTTTTCCTTTCTCTTTTCTTAGAGTGAGAACAGCTTTTACAGAGACCCTCCCAGATTGAACATGTACAAGGGAATAGTTTAGAAGTATTTCCTTAAATATGTGTGGGTCTGAAATGGAATTATGGTGGGATCTCAGTAACTCTAAATCTTAAAAAAAATCCCTTGATACTATGTTCTAACACTTATGTACACACCCATACAGTAGAATGGAGCCCTTCTGATATGTATTTTAGATGTATTTTGAAATTAATTATTACTGAGAAAATACAATAAAAGGTTTATTGCTACACTGTGATGTAATGTATTTAACACAGTTGCAGAATATGCTATGGTTCTACAATACACCATATTCTACAATTCAAAAATCAACATGGTATTTGAGACAAAAGGAAAAAGGATGTAATTGGAAATGTTCAAAATACTTGTTTGGCTTTGGAATGCATTCCCATTATAAACATTGAGATTTCCCCAAGAAGAAGAAGTTCTGAATTTCAACATATTTTTATTCTTCTGTGGCTGTGTCCTGCCTTTTATTTGCTCCTGGGCTAGAACTGGAATCTGTGGGACCTGACCAGATACAGTCCGCGTGTGGCTTCGTGCGGGAATGGTTTTATTTGGACAAGTGACATTTCTACTAGTCCATCAGACACCAATAACCAGTAGGCAAATACACTTGAGAAACCCTTATACAGTAATGGGAATGAGATAAAATGAACAAATTGGAAAGAAATACCCTAAATGTTCATGCTGAATTGTAGCTATAAAATCAGAGAATAATTTGACATGAAGGGAGCAGAGTGTACCTGGAAAAATATCACTCTGTCTCTGGTAGAAATTTTTCTTACCTAAATCATGCTGAAAATCTGGCTCTTTTGTGGCTCTGGCATTTCTCAGATTTGAAATGTACTTTTGAAGGTAAGGCAGGAAAGTAATTCTCAGTCATTTGGGAAAAAAGAAGAAGAAACAGCTGCAGCAGCTTGTTACAGTTTTAGACTTAAACAGTGTGTTGATAGAAAAAAATCACTGGATGTCTTTGTGGTTATAATGGTGGAGTTGTCTGGTGGGAGAAAATCTTCATGGACCAAAGAACAACTATTTCTACCTTTATATGTCCTTGAGTTTTTTTTAAATATATCTAAAGCACCTCTTTTATGGTAACAGGGTTAGCAGCCAGGGTGGTGTCTCCGAACTCTGACCACAAATCTCACCATGCCACTTCCCTAAGTGCACTCTGCAGCAAGCTGGGTTTGGCACTGTCAAAAAGATGGTAATGGGAATTCCATCACCACTTTTCTTCCAGCTCCTTCCATTGGATTTCCTGCACTGAGGCAGAACACAGTGTGTGTACAGTGGGAAAGCCAAAAAAATACGTAATATTGTGTCATCAATTACATCAGAGCAGAGAAGAAGAGCACAGCACTAGAGATCTGCTAATTTAGGGTGGCTGGGAAGTCCTGGGCAGTTGGGACACCTGCTGTTAAGTTCTCTGTCAGTGACACGGCTAAGTGTTCCATAGCCTAGTGAGAACACCTCTTTGGGGAGGCACTTGGGCAGGCAAACTGAGGACACCTCCCTGGGGGATGGGTCTGGGGTACCCCGGACTTGTGTGCTGGACCCAGTCAGTGCATGTTCGATGCTTACAGAATGACAGAGGAGCCCCAGTGGAACTGGGGCTGGAAGGCAAGTCTCCCTGCTCCCCAGGGAGTCTGGGGTCAGTTCTCCCACATCACACCACAGTGAGGATGTTTGAGTATAATTTTAAGGACGTGTTCAAGCTTGCTTGAGCCCCAGAGGCTGGCTGAGCATAGAGGTGTCTGGCTGCAGAGAGGATTCAGCAATTCTCACTTGGGCTGGAGGAAGGGTTGGAAACCTCGAGGCAAAAACGTGGCTCAGCACAGCTGCTTGGAGATGCCTCCCTGTCACCCAGGGAACCCCAGCCTTCACTCTTTTGGGCCCCGGGAAGCCAAAGAATGGTCTGTGGTGCAGGTGAAGTCCATCATCGTGGTCTTGCACATACCGACAGAGTACCTTTTGAAAGAGTAGCCCGTGATGGATGAAGGGACCCCCCCCCCCCCCGAGGCTGCCAGCGTCAGGCAAAGGTAAACGTTGACACACAGTTTCAGTTTTAGTTCCGTTTAATTTAGAATTTAGTACTTAAATTCAGAACCTTTAAAAAGCCCGACAGCATCCCTCCCCGGACAGCCTCCTCCGCCCGGCGGACGCGGCTCCGCGGTGCTGTGGGTACCAGCCCGAGAGCACAAAGGCTAGCAAGGCCTGGGCGGGGCGGTGGGCGCCAGGCAAGGCAGGGGTCCCACCCGCGGGCAGCCCCTGCTCGTACCCCTCAGCGCGGCGATGGTGGAACAGTCGGGCTGGAGCGTTTTGCTGGCACGGCCCGGCGGCTGCGGCGGGAGCTCTCCGGACACTGCCGGGCCGGGGCCGGGGCTGAGGGCAGGTGTCCGGCTCCCCCTGCGCGGCTGCCCCCGCCGGGTCCTCACCGGGTTTGTCCCTTACCGGGACTTCCAATTATCGCTGAAGCTTAAGTCCTTAATTTTCTTGGCTGCAAACCCGGTAACGAATCGCTCAGACTTTGTTTTTCCACTGCTCCCGAGGCTTGATTTATTGTGTCTCTGTTATCGCACAATCGGGCTTCGTTCCAAATGTTATTCTGAGCTAATTCTATATCCCGGTATTTATTTTGACTGTCCCTTCTCATTAGCGTTACTGATTTTTATTCGCTCCCCGTTCCCTGTTAAATCCCCCTCTCTGCCCGCCCGGGCTCCCCTCATGCCGTTCGTGTTTCCATCCCGCGTTGGACCCACGCGTGTGGGTCGGGCCCCCGAGTGGTGCCTGGGCAGCCACGACCCCGCTCCCTCCGCGCGTCTCACTCGGGGGAACCCTCTCGGCCCCGGGAACCTCAGCGAGCCGGAGAAGAGGCGGCAGAGCGGGGAGGAAGGACTTGCTTTTAACAGGGCATCGCCCGCGCTCCCAGCCCAGAGATTAAATTTCTCTCCTCCAGCAAAACCGTTACTTTATCCTAAGAAAAACAGCGCGGACGGGGCGAGCGGCGGCGGGACCCGCACGGACCCGGGGCCGGGCCGGCGGAGGGAGGGGAGCGAGGGGAGCGTGGGGCGCTGCCGCCCCCCGACAGCTCCGTGATTGATGACCCACCCGCCCGGGAAGGGGCGGTCGCTGCCGCCCGGGCTGGCGGGGGGAGCCCGGCGGCCAGGTGCGACCCAGCCCCGCCGCATCCACCGCCGCGACGGCTTATAAGTGGCGCCGCGGGGCCGGACGGGGCGCGACGCGACGGGACGGGACGGGAGAGGAGAGGAGAAGGAAAGGAGCGGAACGGGCTGCGCCGGGCTGTCCCGCTCCGCACTGGACGGGAACGGTAAGTTCATCCCCGGGCCGGGCACTGCGAGGTCCTGCCAGGTCGCGGGGAGCCGGGTTCGCCCGGCGGGGTGCGGGACGGGGGCGCAGCAGCCGCCGCGTCCCGCCCCCCTGGGCAGCCGGCGAGAGTCACCGCGAGCTCCTCGGTGAGCGCCGGTGCTATCCTCGCACATCGACAGGCAAGTTCCTATTTCCCTGCGCCAGAGAAAGGATTTTCCTTGCCTGTTACCAGAGTTATGCAGAGGGCAAGGTCATTTTAAAACCAATGCAAGATAATTCAGATCCGCTATATTCCCCCCCCCCCCTCCCCCAAGGAACAACGGAAAAGTTTAACTGAGGTTTCCACCCGTTTCTTTTCAGCCTATGTGCTCTGCTCTGGCGTTTTCCATCTTTTCCTTGTCTGTGTGGGCAGGTTGCCTTCATTGCCGTTTCGTTCACACGGAATGTAAGACTAAAATAAGTGTCGTGCCGGTTGTTTTGGTAAAAGATTTTAAACCAATTATGTCTTTGTAATGTCATGTTAAAACACAAATGCGTCTGCCCGCATTAGAAATACTGCACTAGAAATGCTTTAGAAACAATACAAATACTTTAACTTACTTTCACAGCCCCAGTTCTCTCTGCACATCAGGCGGCAAGTGGATGTTTGCAAAAATTACTCTCTTTCTTGTAAAATTCTGAAGGGAAGATGACTGTTGCCCAGAGGCATTTTATTTACTTTAGTTTTCAGCAGCATTTTTTGGATCATGAGGTTTTGGTGACTCCTGGGTTTGTGGTGAGCACAGCACCCAGAGTGTGTGTCCTGATCGCACAGGGGAGAAGAGTGATGCTGCCCAGTCCCAGCGTGCAACAGAGGAGATCCTGGTGCAGGAATCACCGTGGTTTGTCTACACATATCCACATACCTACAGCAGATCCTGTGTTTCTGCGTAGCAGATTTTCACAGACCATTTGCTGTTTGTACTTGATGAGAAGTCTGACAGTGGAGAAATTTAATTCAGAGTGAAATCTCTGATTTCCACAGATGAAGCCTTTTACATTTTTTTAATATAGGCCTAGGATTTCATCTGATGTAGATGTGAATCTCCTAAAACAGAAACTCCTACTCCAAGGGGCACCCAAGGAGATGAGGCTTTTAGGTACATGCATTACTTTGTAGTATTCCAGTTCTAAATCTGGTTATACACCAGCACGGCGAAATCAAAACTGTGTGTAAACCAGCCTTAGTCATGTATTTCATTAGAGGAGCAGGTATTTTTACTAACTCAGTCTGTCCATATCCTTGGATATTCTGGACTTCTCCAGTAATCAGGGAAGACTTCCTTGTATCAGTGGGAATTAGACGGTATGGCAAATGAAAAGTCCTGCTGACAAACATAAACTTCTGCCAGTTTTCATGATTGTCTTAACGATTGTCTTGATGTCATCTCTGCAATGATAATTTTTTTTAAACTAAAATGCATCCAGATCTGACTGTGCCTGACACAATGAGAAAACACCAAGAAAAAGCACATAGGATTTTTTTTATTTTAAGCTAGAGGCTAGGACCATTTTTCAGACCTTGCTCTAGACAAGCTCACGTAGTCTTAATGTGAGCTTTATTTTATATCAATCATAAATACTACAAGAAAAAAGAAGAGTGACATTTTTTCTCTTTGGTTTACAGTTACAATGTGCACAGAATATTTCACAAATAATTTCAGTCTAACCTGTACTGATATTGAAGAGACCATGACATGATAAAACTGTGAACATTATTATTATTAACATCAAATTAATCACAATAGAACACCAGAAATAATAACAATAATAATAATATCTTATAAATACCATCAAAGTATTGCAAAAAAGATTGTTTAGAAACCTTTCCTTGTTTTTGCTAGAAATCTTTGACTTCAGAGTGTGCTTGAAATGCTTTGCAAAATCAAGACCCAATTCTTGTAAATTTAGATCTTCAGTCACTTATGTGCATCAATTTTATTTAAAATTTTAATATTACATAGGGTTTTTTTATTAAATCAAAAGGTTTAATAACTTGTCCTTGCCCTTGTCTAGCCAGACTGTCACAGAAACACCTGAAAGCTGAAATCTGGGACTACCAGGAGGGCTGCTTGACTGAGGACAACAGGATCAGGTATTATTCCAGCTAAAAAGTGCTACACTTTGGGGAATATTGATCGAGGAACTGAATTAATTAAAAGATTGTGAGTTGTATTAGAGGCAGAACTGACTGCCCAGTTTTTCTGAAAGCTGGGAAAAGACCTTGTGGACATTATTTTCAGCTTTGCTCAAAATAAGTTTTTTGTCACTGTTTTCAAAAGGTTCTCTTGCCCTGCAATGGCTATAATAGAGGTTAAAAGATTCTTTTGAAATTCGAAAAAGGAGATGAAAAAAAGCACAGAAACTATTTTAGTAACATTAGGGGTGGGACGACAGGAAAAGTCAGTTCCTGATCCTTTAAAATTATGGACCAAATTTTGCCTTTCAAAAGCTGAGTCCGTGCTCTGTGGCTCCACTTATTGCTGCATCTGAAAATGATATTTTTCTTTCTGTAATCCATGAAGCACTGATCACCTGTGAGACTGTTGATGAAATGATTGCAGCTAAATAGAAAATATATAAATAGTCCCACATCCCAAACCATACGATGAATATGTTTTAAAAATTGCATTTAGCCTAATTTTTGGTAATTTGTAAACGGAAACCACTGTGTCAGTGCTGCTGAGCGGTGCCTGTTGGATTTTCTCAAAAGCCATTTCTGGGCTACGAGTAACAAAAAATTTGCTCAGTGTAATACTTTCAAAAAAAATTATTAAATCCCAATCATTGAAGAGTTTAACTTCTGTTTCTCTGCCTGTGTGAAATCAAATTTGTAAGCAGCCAGTAGAAAAGCAGCTCGCACAGCTGCAGCCCAGCTTTTCCTGGCACAGGCAGCGCTTGCATTTCTGATCATCTTTGTTTTTAGAGAGTTTCGGCGCAGTGTAGCAGCTGCCCTTAGAGATGCTTTTCTTGCTTGCAGGACCCTCCCTGCCAGGGAAGTCACCAATGGACTGTGGACACTTAGCTGGCAGCAGCGAGGAGATCTCCAGCCCGGGCGTAGAGCCCGATTCCCTGCTGCCTTCTGCTGCCGGCGGCAATTCCTGCCCTCCCTTGGTGGGTGGGCAGCGGGCTGGGGCACCCCCGGGCCGACCTGCGGCCGCCAACGCCGCTCGGGAGCGCAGCCGGGTCCAGACCCTGCGCCACGCCTTCCTCGAGCTGCAGAAGACTCTCCCCTCGGTGCCGCCCGACACCAAGCTCTCCAAGCTGGATGTGCTCCTTCTGGCCACCACCTATATCGCGCACCTCACTCGCAGCCTGCAGGATGAGGAGGAGTCACCGGGAGAGGGCTTGGGCACCCTCCGAGGGGATGGATACCTCCACCCTGTCAAGGTAGGAGAGCTGAGCAGCAGCTACCACCTTCTGTCAGTGAAGAAGGACATTGGCCTTAGATACGTAGATGAAACTAAAGATTTCAAACTCATGTATTGTTGGTAAAGGTAATACATGAAAATCCTGCCTGGACCAACCATTGTGCTTAGGTGCTAGAGGCCTGATGGAAATATTTTGGAGCTTTGTCCCTCTGGTTTCAGGGACTTTGCACCAAAATATCAAATATAATGTAGGTCCAAACCTAGTGGGACTTGGTCCCTTGGAATTGAAGGCAGAGGGCAGCACCAGAGAAGTACTGGCACCTCCTTGTTCCCCACATGGAAACCTTGGTGGTCTCCCACCAGACCCACTGGATTCTGCTGGTAGCGTGTGTTTGTGGTGAGGTGATGCACGGTCCCGCAGCAGTGACCCCAGCCACGGCTGAGCCTGCTCTTCTTCTCCTGCCAAGGCAGCCACAGTATGGAAGGTGGCAAGAACTACCAGCCATGTGTTAATTCCTTCCATAAAAGTGCTTTTCTGAAGCATTTATTTTGTCTAGTTGGTATATAGTCTTCCCTTCGTCAAAAAAATCACAGTGATACAGAAGTAATGAGAAAGGGGAACTGCTCTTGGAGAGGGCCTGGGGCTGGAAACTGTTTCCAAATGCATTGCTCACTGACTGATGGGGCTCAAATACCACGGGATATTTTCTTTGGCGCTGGTCACAGGGAATGACTTAGAGTGCTGAGGTGTTTTCTTTTCTTTTTTTTCTTTTTTTTTTTAAGAGTCTGAATTCAGAATGATTTAATTAAGTTAAATTTGTGAAGTAATCTCTAATTTCTATAAAGTGCCTAATTCACAGGGAGTTCCTTGTTCACAGTGTTGGTTGCTGTAAAAAGCATGATGTGAACGCAGGCTTCTGGGGCCATTTAAATGATTAGCAGGCTCATTAAGAAAGCAAAACCTCTACATCAATTAGAAGATGGCTATAATTTAAGTAAAAAAAAATTATTATGTATTTCAAAATAAGTTCAAAATAGCTTCTGTTCGTTTCCTCAGTCAAAGTGAAAGGACACAGGTACATTTTGTCAGCTGCCGACCACTAATGGCAGAAAAATACTCTTAAATAGCTGCTACAGCAGTTAAATGATCCAGATGCACGTTTCCCAGGCTACTGGAATAGAGCAATATTGGATTCACTTAAGCAATTATTTTTTAAAATTTTATTTATCTCTCATTTAAATGCATCTAGTTTTGAGATTCTATCAGCCTAACCAATATTTGTACTATTCCTGGTGGTAAGTGCATTTTTTTAGTTGGCACTGGATGAAAGTGCCACAAACAAATCCTAGCAGACGCTTCAAAAACCCCAAAGTGCAGGTTATGAGACAACCTGTACAGATAAAGACTTTAACTGCATTGATATACCAAGTACAGTAAATGCAATTAGTGAGAAAAGTAAAATATTCAAGTACATTTGTGCGTACACCAAATGAAAAAATATGATTAATGACTAAACTCAGATGTCTCATTGGTGACAAACCCATAACATCATACTTGAAACAAAATTACTAAATGAGATCGTACAGTCTTCCCAAGTCAGATTATCCTGCTGCTTTAGTCTTTAAATAAAAGACCTCAGATGTAACTCCAGTATTAAGCTTCTCTTACCCAGAGGTGCAGGACTGTTTGCAGTAAATAATTTGCTGGGGTTAAGAAACTCAAGATGTCAGAGTAAGTTTTTAACACCAGGGTAATTGATGATTCCAAAAATCAGTGAGTGGAAAGATTAATTGTCGCATCTGAAATAGCTGAGCAAGAAGCTGCCAGTGTTGCCAAGGAGCAACCACATTCAATTCCCTTTACCACACAGTTTTTAGCAGCCCCTGTGCTGTGGTCAGTGTTGTGGGAGTTGGCACAGATGGGTGTGCACATAGGGCTGCAATCCCTGCAGGTGCAGGTGTATCCCCGTAGTATCCCTGGTGCCTTGAAAAGGAATGTTTTGTTTTACTCTAACAGAACATCCACAACACAAACTGTGTGAGGATGACTGACCAGCACAGGCTGCTCCTGTCTGCTGGGTCACAGCGGGGCTGGGAGCTGTGTCTTGAGATTAATTACCAAAGCAAATATCCAGGCTGAGGCTTCCTTACCAAGCTCCTAATATTTTCCAACAAATGACAAAATGGGAAATGTCTGGTGATAGCAACAATTTCCTATTTTCTCGTACTGTGATTCCATCAACACTTTTCCATCAGCTGCGCTGAGAACTGCAGTCAGAGTGCAAAGCTCCCAGGTATCTCAGCTCTGTGCTTGTCTCCTCTCTTACAGAAGTGGCCCATGCGTTCCAGGCTATACATTGGAGCCACAGGACAGTTTCTGACTCACTCGGCACAAGGAGACAGCGCAAACCATGGGGAAACATCAACAACTTCACAAATCTAATCTCCCTTCTTGCTTTTAAAAAAATTGTTATTTATTACACCTTATATATATATTTAAGTTAAAAAATAATATCTATAGACAAACTATAATTTCTGAAATACTGTTTGTGGAGGAGAATGAATTGATTCTTAAATGTAATTAATACCTCATTAAGTTAACGTGATGCATTTCTATCAGAGGACATTGCTGGGATCTGAATGACGGGATCTGGAGGCGGCAACTGCAGCCACCAACATGAGCAGCAGCCCAAAGGCAGAGCTGCCAGCAGAGTAGGTATCCTTGTTCCCTCTGGGACAAGTGCTGAGGAAAAGAGGAGAGAAGGAGCAGCGGTACTGACCAAGTAGAGAGCAAAGAAGCTTGGGTGACAGGCAAAGGGCAAGTCTAGGAATAGCAGTTGCAATCCCACATGCACCTTCTCCACTGCTTAAAGCCGGTGGCAGAAATCCCCCCGACCACAGCCATCAGATCAGAGCTTTACCCTTCAGATAATCCTACATGTATGTAGCTATTGCTGGAAATGTGGATGCATGTTCACCTCAAGTAAAAATGTAATGAAACCTGTGTTGCACACAGCGCTGTATGTGGCAGCTGTGTGTTGGGCACTGCTTGTACCCATCCATAGGATTGTGCTGCATGTTATGGGGTTTAATGTGTGTTTGTTACCCTGGCACTATGTGTCTGCTCACAATACCATGGCTTTCAGTGGGTTCACATATTGATGCAAATGAGCCCAAAGTGCTGGCTTGTTCATAGCACACTTGTTCACTTAAATATCTTCTATATTTAGGCAAGAAAAGTTGAAACTATATGCACATATGTCATCTGATGTATCTGTTCTGTAAAACACTGTACTTCTCATATGGTTTGTTATTGCTGAGGTAAACATTTTATTAAATATTATTCAATGAACATTATATATTTTCTCAGTTCCAAAATCTGTATCAGTTTCTCATTGTATAGGACCAATAGTTTCTAATAGTAATATTCTGCATTTATAGATGCTGTCTTCTTTCTAAGGGCTTTACAGTTTAAATTTAAAAATGACATTTAGGAAAACAAAAATACTAGCCAGACCAGCTTTCATAAAAAAAGTATGGTAAAATCTGGAGCTCTCCAGCACCCCGGCAGCGTTCTGAGCTTTTAAGAAGATTGTTCTTTTAAATGGTAAACGTACTTTTAATATCTTGAATACATTCTATATATATTTATTTTAGGCATATTATTTACAATTGTAAGTGGTTTATTAAAAGATGATTATTACATAGCCAGAGCTACATGCAATACAAAAGGTACAGCATTTCGTGAACAAATTAAGTACAAAAGGGCAGTTTTGCATAGAAAAGAATCTGCTCAGAGGAATGTCTGACTTTCAAGAACTGTACGTACTTTCCATAGTAGTAAAAAGTGGGTTAGCACTACCTCTTGTTAGTGGGACAGCTGTTTGTACTTGGAGTTATTAACAGGGAGATGTGAAGGAGTGGCAAAGGGGGTGATAATTAAGATGAAGGTGTGAGAGGACAGTGAGGGATTCCAGGAGGATTACACCCTGCACAAGATGAGGGTGTAAAACACAGATTGCACTTCAGAAGCACAGAGCATTCAAACCAGTTTTGTATGTCACTGAGTTGTAAAGGAATGCATCAGGCCAGGGGAAGAAGGGCAAGTGAAATCTCAGCCAGCAGTCCATGTCCAACCTGAGCTGCTCTGTGCAGCAACCATCTGATAGTAAAAACAAGTTGTGGATGAATTGTGCATAATAGACTGGTGTGGGGAGAACACAAAGAGGGATGATGTTTTTCATCAGCTGCATGTGCTTACCTAGCCCAGAGGTGCTGGTTACTTCATAGGCTCTTAAATAATACACCTGGAAGGGACAGAATTCAAGAAAGGAAAAAAAAAAGACAGCTCCCTGGTTTTAAAGGCTTCTTCCTTTAAATGTAATTGAAAGATTCTCACTGCTTATCCATGAAGTAGAGGTTCAGCTTGGGTATGAGGAAGAATTTCTTCACAGACGGGTTATTAAGCATTGGAATGGGCTACCCAGGGAGGTGGTGGAGTCACCATTCCTAGAGGTGTTCGAGAAAAGACTGGACATGCCACTTAGTGCCATGGTCTACTTGACAAGGTGGTGATCGGTCAAAGGTTGGACTCAGTCTTTTCTGACCTGTGATTAAGCATGGAAAATTGACAATAGTAAAGGTCAAAAACATGGAAAGTTAAGAATGGATGGCACAGAGAACACATCTTTACTCTGACACTTATCACTGAGTTGCAAGATCAGTATCAGTTTCTCATCGTACATGATAATATTCTGAATTTATAGATGCTGTCTTCTTTCTGAAGACTTCAGTTTAAATTTTAAAATGACATCTAGGGAAGAAAAGGAAAACAAAAACATAGCCAGAGCAACTTTCACTAAAAACATACGGTAAAATCTGGAGCTCTCCACCACCCCTGCGGTATTCACAACGGAGTATTTACAATGCTCAGAAGACAGCCAGAGGATCGGAGCAGCAAACATTGTAGCTACTTTGTACCCACAACATTTGCAGAAATTGTGGCCACATGCGTAGGACTTTACCAGCATTTTATAGACTTATTAAAAGCCAATAAGAATATGCAGAATTACAGCAGCAGTTTTTGAGAAGAGCTCCCCATACTAATGAGTTGGGATTTTTTTTTTTTTCACTGAGACATATTCTGCATCAGAATTTTTATTCCTTTCCTTCCAGAACCAAGACACCAGGCAAGGCAACCCACTCCCTTTGACCAATACAAGAGCTCTTGTCTACCACCAGTTTACACACCAGGATCACAACAGAGCCCCTAAGCCTGTTCGTTTAAAACATGTTTGGTTCTAATATTACACTTCCTAGGAACAGTTAATATCCTCGTATGCTGAAATACAGGAATTTGGCATTTAGCACTGGAAATATGCAAGGCCTTAGGAATAAAAGTGTACAGTGTTTACACATTGCTATCAAAAGGTGGCGTTTTTCATGGAGTAACCTAAAAGACCTCCCTTACTGTCAGCACAGCTTTTCCCTCTGAGGGACGGGGAAGGTGAACTTCCCATGGCCACACGCAAACACCCTGCCCGTATAAAGCCGGCTGCGCAGGGACCTGTTTTTCCTAGTGCTCGCGGCTGTAACTCGAGCACCGTGCCCTGCGGTCACGCATTGCTCTTCCTCAACACACGGAACCCGCCACTCACAGCTCTTCCCCTTTTCCCTGTGCGCGCGCAGCCGGAAAGCGCCGCGCGCCTGTCCCGCCCCCGCCGCGCGGAGTATTTAGGGAGATCCCGCCGCAGGAGTTGCCTTTTCCACGCGGCCCGCGGCACCGGGGAGGGGAGTGGAGCGGCACCGGAGCGACCGCGTCTGCCCGCCCGGGACTCAGCGTGGGTGGAAGGGCGGATGGGCGCGGCGGGACCTGGCCCGCGTTTGCGGTGGCCGTGTCCCCCGGGAGCGCCCTTCCACGGGGATCCCGTGATGGCGAGGGGTGCCCGGGGGCGGGGGTTGCCCGTGTGCGGCAGCTCTGTGGCTTGTGAGCTGTTCCTCTGTGCCTCGGCCTCCGGCGTGGGAGCGGCAGCCTGGGAAGCCGAGTCTGGTGAATACAGATTGAAAGAGGGTACAAATGGGTACAAATTGAAAGAGGGGAAATTTAGGTTAGATACTGGAGGAAAATTCTTTACTGTAGAGTGGTGAGGCACTGGAACAGGGTAGTTGTGGATGCTCCAACCCTGCCAGTGTTCAAAGCCAGGTTGAATAAGACCTTGAGCAAACAGATCTAGTGGGAGGTGTCCTGCCTGTGGGAGGTGTCCCTGCCCATGGCAGGGCGGTTGGGACTAGATGATCTTTAAGGTCTATCCCAGTCCCTTAACATCCTGTGATGCTGTGATCCCGCTCCGCCGGGGCGGCCGTGCCGACCCCCCGGCAGCCGCACGGTGCTGTTTCGCTGCCCGTGGGGTGTGAGAGCCACTCGAGCTCTGCTGTGCTCCTTCGAGCAGTTCCTCGGCTTGGCAGTCCAGGCACATGCTCGTCTGAACAGCAGAACAACAGCTCGTCTTTTCAGAGGAATCAGACACTCCAGTCTTTCAAAGGAAATAGAAATGCCCCCAACTGTTTAATGTGAGAAATCCCGTCCTGGCAGGCCAGAGCAATGGCTGTAATCTCAAGAGTTGCAGGGATGGTTTGCTGGTGCTTTTCTAAACAGTCAAAGCCATCACTTGAAAGAGGAGTGACTGTCATGCTGTTGTGAGCATGTCCGTGCCTGGGTGCTGGAGTGGCTCTGCTCTCGCTGACATTCCACCCACACAGGCTTCCCAGGAGTGTGGCAGGCACGTGAGGCTGAGATGCACCTAATTAGTGTGTGCCACTCCCCTGGTAAAGCGTGGTGGTTACTTCAAGTTACCTCTTGGCTCATCTAGTCTTAAAAGGAATGACAGATTTGACAACTGAAGACACTTGGTTTTGCTGACAGATCGTTCTCATCAGCAAATGCATGTCCTAATTCTAAAGATAAATTACCTTCTTTTTCCTTTAGGGAATTTGGCAAGTGTTGTATGGTGACCCTGACCATGCCCTTTTTGGGTTGTAGGCACAGATCCAGAATGGTGGGTTCTGGCAGGGATAGGACCTCAGGGGCCTCAGCAGCCTCTGGGGTAATGCTCTCCTACCAGGACTGCAGTGCGAGCACTGACCTCAACTCAACTGGTGGTAAAACATCAGTAAGTTCCCCAGAGTGTGGCACGTAAACTGAGGTTAAAGGCTGTAACCTGCCAAGGTGCTCCTCTCCCCAGCCGTGGCTCTTCATTAGGAGCAGTGTAGTTGTCCTGCAATCAGTCATTCCTCACACTGCAGCTTGCTTTAGGAAAATGGTTGTGCCTCTGCTTAACCTTGATCTCATCTGATGCTCTCTGTAGTTTTCTCCCCAGGTAATTATAAAGGGAGCATGTGGTTGGTATTTCTTTGTCTTGCTTACTGTCCCCAAGGAAGTGTTAATGCTTTGTGCTACTGGCTCAGCAGTGGAGTTCTCTGAATCAAACATCTGCTTCTTTTCATTGTTTTAGGCAGCGAGTGAAGTTCAACATGAGTTTGTTACTGGCTTTTGGAATCTTCAGTCTGGACTCTGCCACGCTGTTGCCTTGCAAGCAGAAAGATGTCACGTGAATTCTAGAGCTACAGAAGTAAATATTTCGTACTGTACTTAAAGGTACTGAGAGAAGCTTCTAGATCTAGAGTTCTGAAGCTGTTTAATGGCTTGCAAATTCTCTTACAGATGGAACAGAACTACATATGATTGCATGTAGTAAGGTTGAGGTTGAAAGTCTAACAAAAGGTATTATGACAGCTATAAAATCTCTAAGACTTGCTCCCCAGAACAAAGCAGGTGCAATCCAATAATCCTGAAGGAATCAGAAAGGAGAGTTTTGTAATAATATCAGAGAAACTTGTTTTTAACTGGGGAGAGAAACATGAGTTCTGATTTGAGGCAGTAACAGACGCTAGTTGGAAGTGAGAGACTGAAGTGAAGAACAGTGTGTTCAGATCACCATCCCTGGCACTTACCCATGTCAGACTTGGAATATATTTCAAAGGGAAAAGCGACTACAGTACTGAACTTTACCTCTAGAAAGATACTTGACATCTGGGGCTTGAATGTAACAACAGGGAGAGTCCTGGATTTTTGTGCCCAAAGAGAGCTTTTTTTGTCTTGTTCCTGGCTATCCTGAATTCGTTCTGTGGTTAGCAGTTAAAACAGAGGGTCTGCTTCTGCTTATGGAAGCACACCCCTTGAGACAAACATAACCAATTCCCTTGTATTTGATACCTGGAAAAATGACACCAGTCTTACCAGGGGCAGGAACTTGCTGGCATGATGATGATGACCCTTTGCCGTTTACCCAGCTGAATGTTGTGATGAGCAGTGGTGTATCTGATTTGCCAGCCAGTTGTAGGATTTTTACAGTTTGATTTGCTCCCGTCATTTCTGATGTGTTACATATTCTTTTAAAGGTGACATCAGATGACCATCTCCACCGTCTCCCAGCCATGTGTATGCACTCAGGGCCAACAGTAGAGTCCACTGCTAGTCTTCCCATTTTTGCTTGAGAGATCATGGGAGAGACTGTGGAGAGGTAAGGATAAAATGTCGTGCTCTTTTTGCAGGATGTTTTTTTCTGAAGAATACACATTCCTTAATATGGCTTCTCAAAACTAGTGATTTATAAAGGAATTCTATTTCGGTCTATTATTTTGCTGGCATAATGATGAGAACCTTTGCCGTTTACCCATCTGAAGGGTTTTTGATGTGTATCTTTGAATCCGAAATGCCAGTGAAAGTAATAACTTTGTATAAAGATGGATTAAGGGTACAGAAAACTAACTTTTTTAAATTATTATTGCTCCTAGCTTGAAAAGAGCAGCCTGGCATGTGGAGTTCTAATGCACTTGGAAATGCTTCCATGGCCCTTCCTGCTTCTCAGAAATACCGCTTGATTCAATAATATTGCAGAGAAGTACCTGTTTGCTGAATATGTCTGAATAATCCTGGAATGAAGTTCAGGTGAGAGTGTCACTCCGGAAAGGGAACTGACCTTAGAACTTGGTATGAATATTTGAGTGTATCAAATAAATGGATTAAAAGTGAATACAGCAAGGGTTAAAACATGTAGGAAAACTCATTATCTTGGCTAGTTTACAATGTTAGTAGTGGGTATGAATAAAATCTTGGATTTCTGTTTTCAGTGACTGTTTTTTGTTGAGGGTATGGGAACAGTAGCACTGTGATACCGCTGGATGACATTCTGTATAGGAGTCACACAAGCCTTAAATATTCAGCTTGTCCAGATTGACAGGAGGTCTGTACAATTTTACTGCTGCTTTTTTATTTAACATATATCTCTTGGATGTAAAACTTGTTGAGGATTGTCTAGTGCTATATCCTTTCTAGGAAGATGAAATACAGAAAAGCCCATAGTTGGGGAAGCATACTGTACCTCAGACACCTCATCTTTTACCACACCATTCTTCACACTTGTTTTTGCAGTGAAGTAGAGGTGAACTCATTGAGCTACCTGCCTACCAGGTTGTCTAATATTACCTTTCACTCTCCTGTGGCATTCTGCTGTCCCCTGCAGCCTGCATAAAATGATGTGGAAACATGTGGGGAGGTGTTTTGTTTTTTTTTTTTTTTTATTGCAGGACCACACTGGCATCCTTGTCTAATACTATGTTGCTGTAATGTAAAAAAAGACACAAAACATGAAGCAGTATGGTGATGCTTTTATACATTTCAAAATTTATACAGCATGAGTAATGAAAGTTGGCTTAAACTAGGAAAAGTTTTAATGTACTTAAAACTACTTAACCCTCTGGGTGATACACTTGAAAAGAAGCAACAAGAAAAAGTGCAGTGAATTCACGTAGTTAAAAGGCGCAACATTAGATTCTGAAGTTGGGGTTTAAATTTTAGTTGTCTTACTAAAAACCCTGCTTAGTCCTCATTTAACAGTGAATGAACATTTGTAGCCAGGAAGAGAGGTTCTGATTGTGGCTATATTCTGGGGCCATGGCCTCCCAGGATGAAGGCATCCCTCCTGCCTTCAAAGAACACTGTCAAAAAACTAGCAGTTCAAATCCTGTTGGATATGCTTTATTCCTTATAAAACAGCACCGAACTGTCTTAGACAGCTGGTAAGTTTTCTATATTTTTGTATTTCTATCTCAATAAAATAGTCTCTCAAAAAGCCAAAGCTTCAGGCTTTACTCCACAGAGAGGAGTTTTTACTCTTCATTAGCGTTGATGTGAATTCCTGGACCATATGCCGCAATAAACTTCAGGAGTTCATGGTGACACTGCATGAGGTAAATATCTCTTTGTTGCAGGGAGTTTTCATCACTGAGGTCAAATGGAAATACGGAATTTGGTGCTACACATAATGCAGATGTGCCTAAGCAAAGAAGAAATCAAGACTTCGGCTGAAAGACTTGATAAATTTTAGCCAGTACTTTGAGATGAAAAAAGTGTGACACAGATTATATAGTAATGCAATCTTCTGTGTTACCATTTTTAACTGTTACATCATAATTCTAACCTTGTTTCTAAAGCTGTGTGTGAACAACTGTGACTGTGATGCTTGAAAACAAACTAAAAAATCCCAACCCTTGTTTTCAGCTTCTCCAAGAAGGGAAATCTATCCTTTAACCTGACCAGTGTTAGAGGAGCAACACCTCAAACCAGCATGAAGGACAGACTTGGTGCTGGCCTGTGGCCTAATTATGTAGAGCGCTGAGGCTCAGCAGGGAAGCCAATTGACAGACTTTTCCAATACCAACTTCAACAGTGGAAACTGGATTTTGATTTGAAATGACCTATTACTGCAATCAATTAATACAAACGTTTTTCAAACTAACAAACATGAATAACCTAAAGACTGAGTTGCATTATTTACCGTGTTTTAGGGTAAGAGATGACTCAAGTAACAAGATGGCAATCAACGCATCTTCCTGAAGTACTGTGTGTCTTAAACTTAGCTTGGTATGAGCCTTAGACAGTGAAATCCTAAGAGATCAATATAAACATGTCAGAAATAAAAAATACTGCAGAAGTGAATGCGATGTGCATTGCCCTGTTTCAAGCACTTGTGTAAATCAAAAGTTAACACTGAAGTGTTTTCATACTTCAGCTGTGCAGTTATACTTACCACTGACAAAATACATATTATGATATGAAAGCACTAGAATATTATCTATTGTTAATACTTGTTTTGCTCCCATAATAAAGCTGTGGATATTTAAATCCCATTTTTGTTTTTCTAGATAGCTTCAATAATAATACTTGTTTTGTAAATCACTTATATATTTTGCTTGGAAAAGTTCTTTGAACTTGGATTTCTTTCGGCATTCATAAGTGATAAATAAGATCCTTTATGCTTGACCTTTTCAAAACATAAGAGTTATCTAGATTTTTATTAAGCAAGCTCTTGACCAGATTAGCACAATTTCTCTTTGAAACACAGGCGTGTTTCCCTTACTGTGAAAAGTAGGACTCACAGAATTTTTAGTGCAGATGCTGATAATGTTGATCCATGAACGGAATCTCTTCTCACCCTGCGACTTGCAAGATAGTAGCCTTGAATGAGGTTCTCTGCTTCTGAACTCAGTTCAACATGAAGGTTCTTAGCAAACAAAATGAACTAGAGAGAGGGTATACAGTGAAAATATTTAACTGTAAAAAAAAAAAATTGAATTTTTTTCACACCTTTTAACATACCAGTGGCATAGTAATATAGGCTGTACAGTATTATAGAAACTATTGGTAGAAAACAGAGACAATTGTCACCATTTGACTGCTGAAAAGGGAAAATATTTAACATAATAAGGATAGATCTAGGATAGTAAACATAGGATGGGTTTGGGTGGGAAGGGACCTTAAAGATCATCTAGTTTCAACTCCTCTGCCATGGGCAGGGACACTTTCCACTAGATGGGGTTGCTCAGAGCTCCATCCAACCTGGCCTCGAACACTTTGAGGGAATCATCTCTTAATTATACTAGAGATACTGATAATTTATGTAGAATGGAATATTAACTTGTACCACTGGTTATAAACTTTTCTAGTCAAAAGTAGCCATAGAAGATCTGTTCTCATATGAATGTTAACCTAGTATGGTTTCCAGAAATATGATCAAACTGAATTTATTGTGCTGACCCTTTTAAAGAACTGGAGTTGCTTCTTTTGATGATCCAATTAGTGCTAGTGAGAATATGGGAGGGGGGAAAGGACAGAAAGTGAGTATCAAAAATAAGTAATCAGACTGTGCAGAGAGAACCCTCTGATGCCAAAACCAGTATGACATTCCCAAATATAATGCATGTCTGTTGTGTACAATCTGTTACCTCCTCATAATCCTGTGTTCTGAACTGCTGTGAGACTTTGTACAGCATGGCTTCAGGATTAATGGCTTTTTTCAAGATATGGTGTACAAGAGGAGAAGATAGTCGACCCAAAGGAAACTCATTGTATATCAAGAGCCCAAAAACATCTACAAGGTTAGCTGGAATCAAACTCATGTCCTAAAGAGAAGACCCAGAGAACAAAAACAATTACTTTATTTTGGGCTTTTGACTTGTAGAAACATCACAGTGTTTTCCATCTGAAATAGTCAATATTCATTATACTGCAAGATTATCCAATGAATTTACCTATAACAGTAAAATTTTGTTTCACTGATCCCTACGTTTGGGAAAGCTACCTCATTTTAGAAGATACTTGATTTAAAGTCACTGAAGTTGTGACTTTTCTGGAAATACTAAAAAGTTTAATTGTTTTCATTATTTTATCAGTTGAAATAACAATAAACAAATAACAGCTATAATACAGTTCCTGTCATAATAAGGCATGTGCTTTACCATTTGTCCAATTAAAAAGTTCTCCTTCTGTATATGTTTCTTCGAGGAAGAATCCACATCCACAAAAGACCAAAAATTGGTCTGAACTGAAATAGTAACTTGTTGGTCAGCTTCTTCTCCGTACTTCTTCCCAGGAATAAATACTGTTGTTGTTCTGCTCTCTAGTACTAGGATAAGATAAAACTCATCAGTTACATGATCGATTTAGCTTGACTATAAATTGTAGTACCACACACATTATGTGAAACCAGTCACGATTACGATTTCACAGAATCACAGAATATGCTGAGTTGGAACAGACTGACAAGGATCATCAAGTCCAACTCCTGGCTCTGTACAGGACCATCCTCAAGAGTCACACCACATGCCTGAGAATATCATCCAAATGCTTTGTGAATTCTGTCAGGCTTGGTGCTCCCTTCCCTGGGGAGCCTGTTCCAGTGCCCAACCACCTCTGGGTGAAAAGCCTCTTTCTAATATCCAACCTAAACCTCCCCTGACACAGCTCAGGCCATTCCCTTGGGTTCTGTCACTGGTTACCAAAGAGAAGAGATAAGTGCCTGCCCCACCTCTTCCCCTCACAAGGAAGTTGTAGTCTGCTGAGGTCTCCCCTCAGTCTTTTCCAGGCTGAACAGACCAGTCAGCTCAGCTGCTCCTCATATGGCTTCCCCTTAAGGCCCTTCACCATCTTTGTTGCCCTCATTTCTCTGAATTGCCGTGACTAATCGGTAGTGCAGCAAATACAAGTTTACAGGACCTTGGCTTTTTTGTCCTTATTTCTTACACAGACTCATTAAAAACAGCTTATGGATTTTTGAAGCATTTGAGGCCTGTAAGCTGGGGATCAAACCCAGCTGTGAATTTCTATGTTTGTTCAGTTCTCTCCCCTCGTCTGTTCGGAGGTGGGAGATTACCAGACTGTAGAAGTTCAAGTTTATCCTTTTTATATGAAGATAAGTCTCCTATGTAACAGACACCACCCTTGGCCAGCACAGCGCTGCAGGCTTGAATACTGGCACTTCCAGTTCCATGTTTATCTTTGGACACAGAAGGAAAAATTTCACTGGAAGGAGGGTGTCGTATGCCACGAGGCAGAAGGCATAAACTGTAATTCAGAAGCCTGCAGGATTAAATAATTCTGTCAGTCATAAATTCTTAAATTATTGTTCACTTTTAAAAAAACTTAATACCATACTTAATATATATAAATACCATTATAAAGTATTAAAGCTCACTTAGATACAACGACAAGAAAAAAACCCCTTAATATGAAACCAATGTCAAAACTAAATGTTTAACTTTGAATGCAAAGGTAGAGCTCCAAGCTTTCTCTCCAACAGCTGCCAACAGGATGGTATTTCTTATGGATTAAACATGAGGCAAACCATGGTTTGCAATATAAGTGATTTCTAGGAAGTCAAAGAAGTCTCGTAATAACCCCATATTGTTAACTCCTCTTTCTATTCTACAGATACTTTTCCAGTGATTTAAAAGGTAAGAGGATTAGTAATCCTGGCCATCTGGGAAAAATGAAAAGGCTGGAACTTCTAAGCTCTGCCTTCTTGGCTTACACCCCCACCTCCCCAATTCTTTTGGAGAAAGAAGGTGTAGAATATCTTTTTCATCCCCTGTACTATGTTCCTTGGCACAAAGATGTTGCAAATTGTCTGTCTGGTTCCACAATCAAAGGTTTCTAATGATTTTAAGATGTCAGAGCATGGTTTATCCTACTGTTAATACCAGGGAGAAAATGACTGAGCAAAACTGGTAAGTATTAGTAAATAGAGTATCACACCAATAGATATATGATGTAGGAAATGGCTACTTTGACAGGCTGCTGATAGTAAAATACTGTGCACATGCAAGACAATACAGATTACAATACTGATCAAGATTTACAGTGTGCAACTCTTTTAATATTAACCAGATGTTTTGATTCTTAAAACACTCTGAGCTCCTGCTTCTCCTATGAAATCTTACTCTAAACCTGGGGAAAAAAAAACCTTGCAGCCCACCTTTTTTAAATTTGAACTAATTTTTCTACAGTTAAATTTTGAAATGGTCTAAGTATTTTTTCCCCACAACATAAAATATTAATGAATTTTTTTAAGAATTTCCAAATTAAAATAAGGTTCGTGCCACTTTCAAAAATCTTTTTCAAAAATGAAAGTGAAGCCCTACTTTGATCTTGGGAAGAAGAAAGCAGTTTTGCTTAAGATAATGTAATTTTAAAGATGAACATATTGTACTTTTCAGCAGTTTATATAAAATTGTGTTTACAGTTCATAGTTGTACTAAGAGGTAAATACATAAAATGGGAAAATATAGAAAAATGTTTAGTTAAAGGCAACAATAACTGGATTTATGGTTGACATGTAAAGATGTGCGTGACTTGTGATACCTTATCAGTACAGTTATTATGAAAAAGAGAGATAAAAATGTGAGTAACGATTTACACACGGCTTATTAACTGAAAATGCTGATGGCTGGGAACCAGTGATGGAAAGGCTTCAAGTGACACAAGATTTTAAAAGTTTAGTCCTTTGTTTTTATCATTACCAGCTCCTGGGACAGTCTTCAGTTTTGATTTTAGAATAATGTTTTGTTTGAGCTCTGCTGAACAGTGCTAGTGCTGAATTCTTATTGCTATCATTATGAGAGTGGTAAGAGGGTTTATTATCAGTAAAGTTGTGATCTGCATTTATCATTTGAAAGAAATAAAAATGTCTCAGGGAAAAAAAATTATTATTTTTACTAAGTTTGAGCCTTGCATTTTTTTTATATATAGTCTCTAGCTTTTCATGTAAGACCGATCCTATTGTCTTTAAAAATACTAATTTTAAATTCTAATTTATGTGAAAAATAAGGAATCTCTTTACCTATCAATTACTAGTGTGTCACTTGTCACAATCAACAGATCCAGATAATCTGCATTTTCTTTTTCACATGTCTGTACTAGACTCAGCAATATTGCAAGTTTAAGAGTATTGTAAGTGCCTGGTGGAACAACTTGAGAAGCAAAGATGTTGGCCAAGACAGCAGTAAACCTCCAGCATGAACTTGAAGTCAATGAGAGCAGATACTTAAAATTGTCACTGAGAAAAGAAGGACCTAATGGAAACAAGGTAGAGGTTAACAAACACTTAAGAGAGACTTATGCAGATATATTGGAACAAATCACTAATTAATTCTAGTCTTGATACAAAACTTAATTAATATGTTTCTGTATTAAGCACAAATTCAGAATGTAAACATCTGACAACTGTACTACTAAAAAGTAGTAAAGGTAAAAACTAAAAAGGTTGAAGGGAATAACAAACTCAAATATCAGGTTCATTTAACATGATTTCAAAGCGCCTTCCAATGGATAGGAGAAGTTGGAAAGAGAAGTT